AATATAGACTATTCATAACAAAAATTTGATATCTGTTTATCGATTCCCAGTGCCATCTGTTTTATTTTGTTTTTTCGGAATGGAAAAAGTATCACAATGATTTTAAGCTAAATATAGAGTATATATACATTACAGTAAAGCCTTGATTTAACAGATAAAATTTCCTGTTTATATGTCATATATGAAAACACCTTGTTGTTAATTTTAAAATGCATTTTATACAGAATTAAATTAACAGTTTTTTTTTCAAATTCAAGTGTATTTTTAAAAAAAATGTTTGTTTATTTATTTTGATTTAGATTGTATACTTCTTTATTACATTCTAAGACCTATTGTGAGACTGTAATAAACAATAATATATATAGAGAAATGTTAAGTGACTTATTTCATGTCACCCTCTAGCATTTGTACATTATGCTACATTTTAAATAAAATTAAAACTTTGTTTATTTTCGATAAACCATTGCAAACTAATTTCTTTTGCATAATTTCAGATTAAAATGTCGATTTAAAATAATTATTTCAGATAGATATTTATCCAATATTTATTTTTTATTGTTTTTGTTGGCAATATGACATTAATTTTGTTATTTCAAGTATGAAAAGAATGGATGTTCTGAAATGTATGCTTCTGTTATTCAAAATATTTAAATTAAAGCAGCATATACTTATCAATAAAGAAAAATATTGCACATTTCGACATTGCTTCTGCCACTTTTGTTTATGAACTTGTGGTGGATCTCGAGGAAAGCTTGAAGAGACTTAAACTTGTTTGAGAAAGTGATTTAAATTGAGCTAGTTATTGGTAGTTAAACTAGTTTAATGTTAAGTTAGTTTCATTCACATTGCATACCTTAAGCCAACTTAAAAATTACAGCATGAAAGGAGTATTACTGTACTTATATAAACACATAGTTGGTTCTCTGCATGTTGGTGGCAGAGAACTACATATATTAAGGATATTGAAGAAATAGATTTGGTTGTTATTTATGTAGAGTTAAAAAAATATAAATTACAGTCAAAACTCTGGCTTTGAACATCTCTCTTTTCAAACATTTTGGTTTACAAACAAGATTTTGAATGTCATATTTGCTTCAGTTGCCATACAGTAACTGGATTGCTGAACAAGCTATCTGGCAAGAGCTGGTCATAGATTAGAGAGAGACAGATGTCAACTCCTTATACTTCCTGTATTAAAGAAAGTTGACAGGCCAATCAATCAACAATGGGACTACCAATTCAGAACTTAGTGGTGCCAAGATTGCCTCATTTCATTAGACATTACAACATGAATCGTCAATGATGATGTTATTCAAATTAGATTTTAATGTGCATGTGGGTGATTGGTTAACAAACATAATTCGTTCAAAGACATTGTTTGCTACCCAAATTGTTCATTAACCGATTATCAATTTTCCATAGATTTTTATGGGAATTTAATTAATTCGTTCTGGAGACCCCAAAAAGTAAATAAATAATTATATACTTTTACTATGTCTATTTCACGTAATAAACTAAAAGCAGTCTTTCCATTTTTTCATGGATGGCACACCTTTGTTTCTCAAATGCGATTTTTGTTACTCCTTTATCTGCTTGAGTCTTTTTGATTATATCTTTCAGAGCTAAGATTGTATCTACTGTAGATCTGTTGAAGCCATTCTGCCTAGCAACATAAGTCATCTTCTACCCACTCTCTATCTTGGCTATTATCTCTTGTTTAGTTTCTATAGTGAACACACTTTTTGGGCATCATAATATTATTAGTTTTTTAAAATAAAAAGTTCAGAAAAGCACACAAAAATTCAGAGAACACAAATCAACTAGTGCAAAAAAGGTTATGTATACAACTGTGAAAGTCTCGTTCCATAAACCATTCATAGATTCCAGTAAAATATAGTTTTACAAATCTAAACACAGCATTGCTTCTTGTGTTTGTTCAGTGAGGTGTTCATTATCTGAACATGTGTTTGTTCTCTGAACATAAAAATCTTTCATGAAAGTATTCATTGTCTGATTTGTTCACAGTTTGATCACCCATTGTACCACTTCAGTAGGCGGCTCAATTGATTTTAAATCAAAGTAATTAATAAAAACCATGTTAATCGACATTTGCCTAATATTATCAGCACAAAACCTTTCTCACTAATTTCTAGCCGTATTAACAGGAGTACAAATGTTTTCGGCCTTCTTAATAGGCCTTCCTCGCGTACACTATGAAGCGTCGGTTAGAAGAAGTTTAAATTTTAGAAGTTTAGAAGAAGTTTAATTTGCCTAATATAAATGACATTCACAAATCTGTGTTAAAAGGTGCTTAACTCAAATTAAATAACAATTTATGATCTTTAATATGAACAAGTTTGGTGTAATTTTTTGTATAGAAACATCATGATGAGTCTGATTATCTGATGTGGTGAGTCAGGCATTTGAGCTTTATTTTGCTGCTGCATACTTCGTTCATTGTAGGTATCATCAATTTGTTGGGTCTCATCATCTATGTTAGTCAAAGATGTTCACCCTAGTGGTCTTCATGGCACTACTGGCTGTCTCTGTAGATGCTGGAGAAAATCAAACTTTGTAGGAACCCAATGTTTCACGCAAATAGTTGTATCCGTTTTGTGTGTAGAAACAGTTAGGTTCAAAGTGCTGACTGCAAAGAACCACTACTATTGCTTGGATTCCATTTGTATTGCTGTAAACCATCAACTGAAGTATTGCTTGATTTTAGGAAACCTGTCGACAAAATTCGATCATGTGATCATTTTAATACAAAAAGGATACTATATAATCAGTTGGTGGTCAAAACCTTCTAACTCCAATATTTGCTCAAATTTGAATCACAGTATTAGTGGATAACAAAACAAATTTCCCACGATCTGTAAAACTCTCACTGGTCCCGAGTCAAGCCTAGTTCAATATGTAAATAAAAAATAATAATCAACTTATGGTAATAACAGAATTCTGAAGGAAGTTTAATGTTTCTTCAGAAATATTTCTTCAGGAGGAGTTACAAGATTTCGACTGCCAACCAACATTTTAGTATCAGAGAACCTAGGCCTATATCTAACTTGTGATACCAGATTTTTTTTTATAACCTGTCATACAATTAATTGCACAGCAACTTGGTGGCATTCTTGTTATGCTCCTGAGACAATTTTCACACACTCAAGTCTAAATAAATAGCAATTGTGCCAGAAATAGCTACCATAAGTCAGCACACAACAATCTGTCCACAGCAAATGCACTTTTTGCCTTATGGCAGTGCATACTTTTTTTGGCTTCAGATAGCAGTGCTAGTTTCTATGTTAACTTTTATCTGATTTGGGATGTAGAAGTTATATGTCACTGCTATAGATCATATAAAGGCTAAATGCTTTATTTTTTAACACTGTGTATTTTTGTATTGATTCATAATTTACATTGTACATCTATACAACTTAAGTTTTTTAAATATTTTTCACAAATAATCACACAAAAAATGTTAGTTATAGCTTAGCATACACTTGGATGGATAGACAGGGCAGATGGAGCAGATGGAGAAAAATTGCCTGCATTGTAAGTTATGGACATGCACAAACTAGGACAGATAGAGAGGACAGGTTTCATGAAAGAAAATTGGTCTTATATCTTGAAGGAGGCAACATTTTCATCTGTCCTAGTTTGTCTGAGAAGGACAGATGGATTAATGATTAATGATTGAAACCTCCTGGCACTTCACTCATTAACAGAAATCACTTACTTTTTTTTTTTTTTGAGAGGAGCACTTGTTATTTGTGTTTATTCCTCTTACCATAGTAGAAAAAACTTAATTTCATAGTGCAAAATTATGAAGAATTACATAATTTACAGCATCCTCTTCTAATAATAGACCACTCACTACCACTAATTTTTTGAGGTGTTATTCATATTGAAAACAAGTGCTTTGTCTGAATACTTTCACTCTTTCTTTTGCTCTAAATTCTATTCGACCTTCCACTATAATTTGATCGAGTGAACACATACTGATGTTGTTCTGTTTGTTCTGTCCACTCTGCTCATACATCCAAATACTTTATATTGACAAAAACAAAAACTTTTAACAGAAATTGCTCTTTTATAAACAAAATATGGAAGATGATCTATTAGTATTGCGAATGCTTTCACCTGTGTTGAGCGGGCATCATCAGGCAAATAACTGCTGACATTACGTAAGACGAGAGAATGGGGAGGGGGAGGACATTGAGAATTTATATTTTGTAGAAAGACTTCCATGCTGTGGGGAAAGAGTTAACAGCATAAAAGTTAATGGTCATGTTATTGTGGGTGGCCCTGTATATTTCCACTTGCTCCAGATGATTAAGGAAAGGTTGCTTAGATGGGAGCAAGTGGAAATATACAAGGCCACCCACAATAACACAATCATTACCTTTTGTGATGTTAACTCTTTCCCCACAGCATGGAAGTCTTTCTACAAAATATAAATTCTTACTGTCCTTCCCCTCTCCGTTCTTTCATCTTACATCATATGTCACTTCCCACTACACATGTGTTTGGCAATCCTCTGTTTATCTCAACTATTAGTATTAGTATTGTACTAGTAAAAGAAATGACGTAGTGATCCGATTGTCAAGACAGTAAGGGTATTAGTGTGTCACTTTTTTTTAGTTCATGTCTGAATTGGAGCCTGATATGTTCACAGGAGATTTGAATTTGAAATTTTGTACCAAATCTCTCATGATCTGTCTATACATATTGTGGGCATGGCTGAAACTATGATGAATGTGAAGGAAAGGTCTGCTTAGTGCCTATAAGATAGAAGAGAGTAAAAATCTTAAGAAAACTAGAGTATCGTAAAGTATATGTTTGTTTGTCAGTCTTGCTGTAATGATATGGCAAATATTTGCTGTTCCTTAAATTGCAGAAAAATATTTAGGATAATTTTTGCTTATTTTCATGTTACACTAAATATTTTATGCATTATATTTATCTTATGACATTTTAATAAATGATTGTGTTTTTAATAGACGGAGGAGATCTAGATCTAGATCTCGCAGCACTTCCAGCAGTCCCGACCGTGGCAGGAGGAGGAGGAGTCGATCCCGCAGCAGGGATCGTTTTCGTAGATCACACAGTCGGGATCGACGTACTCCTGAGAGATTTCGAAGATCTCGTTCTAGAGACAGACGAAGGTAAGTTGAAAGTTTTATGGTTCTTTAAGATATAAAAACACTTTCAAAATAAACTTTACAAAACATAAACACTCAAACCACCAAAAATAAATCCAAATATTGCAGTATTTTTATAAGACTAATCATAGACTTTGATAGCATATCACTATTCTGCACATATTATGCAGTTTATTAGATTTTAGAATTATATTTAATTCATCCTTTTCAAAGGTATTGCTAAAATTCATTATAATTTGTCACTTTAAAAAATATTCTTGATCAGAGAACCTTTACCTTGGCAAAACTATTCTTAATAAAATTTTTGTGTAAACTGCAATAATTAATTTGATCTGCTTGTTAAATAATTTTATTTACATTTTGAAACACTATGAAGTGTTGACACTGGACTTTTTCACATCCACTTTATTTTCTTATGTATACTTTACAGTCTTTAAACTAATTGTTCCAAGTGCCAATACAGTTTTCAGGCTGGTACCCCTCATCTGTTGGCTGATGAGAATGTGTATCAGCCAACAGATGAGGGGCACCAGCTCAAAATGCATATTGACATTTGGAACAATTATTTTAAAGACTGTAAAGTACATAAGAAAATAAAGTGAATGTGAAAAAGTCCAGTGTCTAGTGTCAACACTTCATGGTGCCTCAAAATTTAACATAAAGGAGGGTGCAGTTTCAACACAGAGAAGAATTTTATTTACTTTTAATTTAACTCATTATTTAATTTAAGCCTTTGTTTTGATATTATATGTAAGTTAAATGTCATAGAAGATTAATTAAATTGAGTAAGTAAGGAAAGTATAAGCATTTCTTATAATTTTTCTATGTGAAAAATATGTGGATGAGATTTTGTATTGCAACTTCAAGATTTCTACAAGGGCTGTACTGAAAGTAATGCAAAAGTGGGTTGAACTTTTTTATTAATTAGCATAAGTTGTTCAAATTGCACATGTTCATAGAGTACAGAAATTCATAATGACTGTTTATTGGGATAACAAGGTCAATATTCACATTGATTTTCTGGAATGTGGCCATACTGTGACTAGGGAGCAGTACATTGAGATACTCAAGAAGCTTAGAGAAACTGTAAGAAGAAAGAGACCAAACAAGAATCTGAAAAGGATCCATATTCACCACGACAATGTACAACACACATATCCGTGACAACAAATCATGTAATCAGCAAAGTTGGCTGGTCAGTAGTCCTCCATTCATCATACATCCCAGATCTTGTGTCTTCTGTCTTCTATCTGTTCAGTCCAAGGAAGGACAATGTTTGGGGATAATGATTTGATGACAGATGAGGTAAAAGTGACTATGAAGAAGTGGGTACAACAGAGCACACCTGAATTTTTTTTAAAGAGGATTCCAGGGTTGAGTTTAGTGATGACACAAATGCATCATTTATAATGGAGAATACGTTCAGTAGTACCTTTATGTAGAGGAGGAATTACTCTATCAACATGTGCAATTTGAACAACCTATATCAGTAAATAAAAAAGTTATGCCCACTTCTGCATTACTTTTGTTACAGTCCTTGTATTTCTATGTATGTTTCTTAATCAGTAATAAATTGCTTAGATATTTATTTGAAATTACTTGCATGAGAATTTTCGTACTTCTTGTTAAACCCGAAACTCAATGGAACTGTAAGTAATTTATTTCACTTGGTTCAGATACTATCAGATGTGTAAAGAAGTTTCACTATGTATATAGCTTTCATCTGTATTTGAACATTTGTTGATCCAATGGATTTTAAATTTAATTATAAGTAAATAAAACCATGTCCAAGTTAGTTTTAATAAATACTAAATCACTCGATCATTCCAGATTAATTTTAAACTAATTATTAACTTTGCTGTTTTTGGAGCTCACAGTCAATCTCTTCTTTTCCATGCTCCAATACTTTTAGACTCATTAATTGTCCATCTTTAGGAGGAATTTTGTGGATTTTATTTTATTTTGTTTACCTGCAGTTTCAATATTTTGAAAATCTTGTACTGCTGACAAACAAAAGTAAATCAAATAAAATTGCATGATCACCCTGAAGATGGGTGGATAATGAGTCTGAAAGTGCTAGATTATGAAAGAGAACATATTTAAATGACTGTGGACTTTTAAAAAACAGCAGAGGTGAACTATTTTGAATAAATATTTAAATAATTATATACAGATTATGTTTGTGGGTGCAGAACTCTTAAAAAAACTCTAATGCAAAATGGCCATTCATATACACACATAAGGAATATTGTAAAATAAATTTAATGTTGAAGAGTATTAAATTGTTTGCATGAAAATTTGGGTAATTCAGATTTAGTATCAATATGTTGATGAGTTTGAGTTACTAGTCATGCTTTATTGCTATAAGAGATAATGTAAAGTATTTTTATGTAAATAATAGTCAGTGTATTTTAGAATAATGTGTAATAATTGGTGTAATTTGAATTGCAAAATGTTTAACTTATTGAAAAGTCTGAGGTTCTCATATAAAAATAATTAAGGGATTATAATTTATCATCATCATTCATAGTTCCTGTTTATGGAAAACAGTTTATGAACACATTTTCATAAACTGTTTTTTAGAACATATCATAAATTTATATTTATTTATCATATTTTAATGATAATTTTAAGCTAAATTTGATTTATATGTACTACAAACAAACATATATTAATATAAATGAATTTACCAAATATAGTTATAATAATTGATTTAAAAATGATTACTGTAATATCTGCTTTTATTTTCCCAACAGAAATAATAGAAAATCAGCGGAAGAAAATGAAAATAGAAAAACTCAAAGAAGTTCTAAGCAGAGGTATTCAATTGTGGTTTATGAGCAAATGAATTGTTTTATTATATGAGAGTTACGGTAAAGACTAGTTTATGCGATACAACTACAACCGACATTTTGTCACTTGAAACTGCAAAATGCTTGGATTTGCCTCATTTGAAGAAACTTTTGACAACCCTGTTGCAGATAACCTCAGATTTTTTTGCTCATTGTTGAATCATCAAATCAATGATAAGATCATAATCAGGTGTTAGATTGCATTCTCACCAATCAGAAGTGATTGCTCTTGCACATGCTTATAATGACTTATAAGTCTTATTCTGGTGGATCATGTAAACATTTGAAATAATTATATCCCAAAAAATCTCAAACACTACTTTTAGCAGATATCTTCTTCAGCATACAAATATTAAGAAACCAAAGCATTTGTATACTGAAGAAGATATCTGCTGGAAGTAGTGTTTGACTCATTTTTGAGGTAATTATTATTTACTGTACCATTTTTGATGAAGTTTTGATAAATGTCTGAATCATAGGCAAATTTTGTTTGTTTTGGGGGTCGGTAGTTGTATTGTGTAAACTAGCCTCAACTGAATTGGCTCTTTTTCTTTTTTTTTCTTATGTTTTAGCTAAAAGTCAGTGCATGAAGCAAATTATAATTGTGTGCATAGTCAGATATATATTTATAATTACTTAGTTTGCTTTCATATTCTAAAGTAATTAATTTTTTATCATTCAAAATTATGATATTTTAGAATTTTTAATAGGAAATAGATGATAGATGGATTAAATGAATCATAATGGCATTCAGGAGTTGATCAGTAAGAATAAATTCTTAACAGCAGCTTCATTGAGAATAAAGGTAGTTCAATATTTAGGTAATGTTTGAATATTAGAGACATGTCAAATTATAACAACATACAGCAACCCAATTCAATTAGTATTACCAAATGATCCAATGGATTATTTATTAGACTATATTAAGTTTAACTTAATAATTAGATATATATCAGTTTGGCTAGGTTTATTGAAATGGTGGCTTAATTGCCTACCTCTATCCAAATTGCTTTGTATCTAATTATTAAATTAGCCTTAATACAGCCTGATAAATAATCTGGTGGATCATTTGGGAATCCATGCCAAACTGTTAAGCAACCTGATAATTATAGAAATAATGTTAAAATAAAATCAAAAGTTGTAATTATCTATTCTCAATGAGGTTGAGTAATTTCAAGACAACTTTATAATGAAATATTTAAAATTAGACAAGCTTTGATATCCAAGAAGTTGACATTTTGTCTGTTATACAAATATTTATAGTTTATTTCATTTTTAAGTGTATTCTATTTCTTGGTTTGGTTTGATAGGCTATGTTACACCTGGGATCTGCCAAGCGGATGCCTCCCAGGAGGACTTTTTAAGTGAAGCTGGTCTCTATTTAGGTGTTAGGCATATAAAGGAAAACAGGAAAATTCCATATGGCCAACTTGTTGGTGAGGTGAAAATCTGCAACTTGTAATCAACTTCTGGCATTCAGTGGTTTTATTCACTTAGCCACTGGTGGATTCCTGTCTTTTCATTGGTTATCAAAACTGCTATGATTTTAAATGCAAGTGAACTTCTGAGTCTGCCTTGTTAATTAATTAATTTAAAAGTCAGAAATTTTTTGTTCAAAATAGTCTTACATAAAAGAGCTTTAAATAAAAAGTTTTAAGCAGTTGTGTGGCTTTACATATACAATTATTAAAAATGATTGTTATAGTTATAAAAATAATTGTTTATAAATAATGGACAAGTGTTATAAAAAAAAAGAGAGAGAGAGAGGATACCTTTAATGTATAAAAGATGAAAGAATGTATAAGCAATAATCATCAATAGCTTTTGTTTCCTTGATGTTATGAAATTCCAAGCAGCATTCTTGTTACATTATTTTTATATTCACATAGTCATTTCCCTAAAGGAGAGTAGTTGAGATGTCTTTCAGAAGATGAATGTATATGCACAATAATTCTACTGATCTTAGTTTTGACAGGATTATTTAATTCAATGCTATCCTTGATTGTGGAGTTGTTAATACTGTTCTCTCAATGATAGAATGAACAAATTTTCTTGAGTTAACATGGTTTATAAGTAATTTAGTTAGGAAGTTGCAATTATCTAAATGATAGTCATATCCTATTATCCAAATGCGTATGTTCTACTGTGATTTACAATAGCATGAAGCATATTATAATTATGTGCATAAACAGATATATATTAATAATTACTTAGTTTACTTGCATATTCTAAAGTAATTAAATAAACACCAAAACAAATGAAAACAGAGGTTGGTGACAGCTTCCTGTGTCTGCATTTGTTCTCTATTTCCTTCTTTGTCAAATAATTCAAATTAAATAATACCAGTATTTATAATACTGAGATTATTTCATTCAGTTGGCACAATGATTACTAAATAATGTCATTTGTTGTAGCAGAATTCAGATGTAGGGTATTCGGATACTGGGATATTGCTGTATATGTAAAAAGCTGCAGGTATAAAAAGATCAATAGATATCATTAAAAAAAAAAGAAAAGAAGACTTCATGTATTTTTAATACAAAATGTTATATATGTGAGAACTTTAGAATGGTTATTATTTTATCCTTAAAATTATAATTCCTTCAAACCAGTGTGTTTAGTTTATAAGTAGGTTTAGAAGATAAGTTTGGTTTATAATTTATAAATTATTTTTATATGTTATGATTCAGTTAAATTATTAAATAATTTAGCATTGATAAAGATATTGTTGCCATCTTATAATAAATTTGTGATTAGAATTAATTAAATTAATTAATAAATAATGTAGAAAACATCCGGAAGAAAAGATCACTCCAAAGGAGAACTCGAATCCGCATATCAGGTTTGTTACTAGTTACGCTATCTACCTCCGGTCCAATCTTTATGTCCTGACATATAAAATTTGGAAATTATAATATTACCATACAGTCTAGCATTTCTTGCCAAATATATCCTGTAAATTCCAGTTGTTTCATTTATTTAATTTTATAAAGCTACATTGGTCTTGCTGACTCACTTATGTGAAATGTTTGATTAGATGCAGACATCTTACTAAAAAAACAGTATGGAACAGTTGAAAGGTATTACAGATTATCAAATAAATCAAATATTTTAAGTCTCTACAGATGTCAAAGTTTGATCTTCAACATCTTGTAGAATGCGAAGGTGTTTGAGAGGTCCATTAATTTAAATGCCAGCCTTCTACCTCCCAAACTTCTGTGAATTGCAACACAGCCAAGATGGGGCTGTCAAACAAAATAACCCACAAATGGATATAGATTAATTACCATAATTACCATTCATCTAGTGTTGTTTGTTTGCTGTTTCTTACAGTACCATTTTTAACAACAGTTGGGTCTGATGGAACAGCTGAAAAATGTAAATTACATAAGTATAATGATACTGTAACTGAAACATTGATTGCAATACAGTAGAGCGTGGTTTATCTGAAAGTCGGTTATCTGAAAGAATTCCAGTCGGCAAATTTAAATTTTCGCTAGTGCTGTGGCTCTGCAATCTTTGGCTATATCTTGGGCTACTCCAATATTTTTTATGTTTGTGTATGTGTTTTAGCTGGCAGCACTGTCACTTTTGTGTGGTGTTTTTCTAAGGACTGTGTGTCATGCTGAATTGAAAGTTTTTGATACTAGATAACTTGTAAAGTATAAATTTTTTTTGTTTTTATATTTTTCAATATATTTAATTTGTTTGTAAAAAATAAAGAAATAATTTTTAACGATACAATAGCCACGATTATTATTTTAAAAAGTTTACATTTGGCTTAACATTGACGAAAATTCAATGCGAAGCAACATGCAACGGAGAAAAATTTCAACACGGGATAGGTTAATGTATTTTTTCGTACATAATTGGTTATCTGAAAAATAAGTTATCCGAACAACCCCAGTCCCCAATTGATTTGGATAAACGACGCTCTACTGTATTTGAAATTTTATATTTTCTTGGGCATGGTAATTCTGATATTAATGCCAACTGGTAACAATAACTATTATTACAATAAGCAGATTCTACTCTATTTGTATTTGTTAATTTGTTAATGCATCAGCGACGAAGTCCATTTTACAATTTCCAACTTTTAAAATGGCAAGTAACAAGCACAGCAAATTTTCTGGCATTTGAACTGTCTTGTTGACCAATTTTTAACAAGAAAACTTATTATTTTGATATTTAAAAATAACTTTTTAAAAAACAACCTTCTAAACAAAGTGTTTATATAAACAAAACTTACCAACTTTATTGTGCTTTGTGTATACTTTTCAAAACTATGTGCTAAGCACAATAAGGTTGGTACATTTTGTTTAAATAACTTTTTATGTTTTTTTTATCTTATACTTCATGCCCAGTGCCAGGTATATTGAGCCCTGTCTTTCACCACAGAGCCACCTCATTGTGGGCCTGGCTGAACTCACAATTAGCCTGAAAAGGAGCCCTGTGACAGCCCACAGGGTGGAAAGAGAGAGGAGAAAACTTACAGAAACTTTGTAGCAAGGAGTTAGGTGTATAGTATGGAAAACTTTTGTTAAAAATTGACCAAAAGGTATTTTGTGTAGTAGAAATGTTAACAATCACAAGTGCTGTTTGTTGTACAGTCAGTATCTTGAGAATATTTATGTACATGTCTTTTTAAACATTACATGAACATATTTAATTAATTTTAGTTTTTACACATGTAATAAGACTTCATTTATAAATTTTTGCATTATAAGATGGTTTTATTTTAATGTTTTGACACGAAATGGGGGCTTTGATTTGTCATTGATTTAAATTCCATCGCACCTCTCAAGCTCCAGATGCAGCAACAAATAGCAATGGAAGTTATAAAACTTATGTATGAATATTAATTATGGATCACATTTTGTTACGTCGAGAAAATTTTTTCACTGAAACCATAATATTTCTTATTGAGGTATAAAAGTACATAAACAAGATAGTATTAGGAAATAAAGGATACATGCCTTAATACATTGAGTATCAGTTATATTTACAGTAATACCTCGACTTACGCTACCCTGACTTATGCGAACCTGGAGTTACGCGATTTTCAAATCTCGTTGATTCGTCTTTTGTTTGAGCGCCACGCAACCCTTGATTACTCACTCCCTCCACACTATTGTTCAGCTTATATGTTTGGACGTGTCGCGTGGAATCGACACATAGCTACAATTTATTTTGTGTTATTTATTTCTGTGTTTGTTATATCTACGGAGACTTGAGAGACTCTATGTGGGGATTTCTTGTAATTTTGAATGAATCAAAAGACAAGATAAGATTAACGAGAACATTTATTAGCTTACATACATCCAATTTGGATTTTACACAAATTGTGAAATTATACCCCAACTTACGTGAATTCAATTTACGTGGTTATCGCTTGGTCCCACCTATCGCATAAGTTTGGGGTATTACTGTACTTATCTTATCTCATGGCATGAGAATTATGCATATGCAGGAAATCCTCATTAGTTCGAAATTCAGTGGACAAAATAATCAAAATATTGAGTTTTGAATTATCCGAGATTTACACATTTCTGTAAAATATGCCAAATGCCACGTAACTGATGTAATTTATTAAGTAAATGGAATATGGTTATGTATACAGAATGCTACTTTCTTTAATTAAATTAATAATTATAAATACTGTATAATTCAATGTCTATAATGTTATGCATACTCTAATACTAACTTCATTGTGCAGACTTATCATTGCATTTGTCTTTTATTCACCAGGGAGAAAGGAACATATGATCGTTTTTAAAAGTTCTTTTAAAAAAATGTCACATATTCTTCACTTGCATTCTATTTTAGAATTTACCAATCCAATGAAGATCTCCTGTGCAGATTGAAAACATTATTCCATCGTTTCATTGAGCAGTGCCATTTTGTACAGAGAGATAATGTAAATTATTAAGGTCCGATATGTGCTTAATTATAGTTAATAATAATTTTGTGAAATTTATATTAAACATTTTAATAAGAAGCTAAAATTAGCAGGATTTGCCAGATATAATCAATCACTTTTATAACCACTTAAAACGGGTTTTTTTTCCTTTTGGATGAATAAACTGAAATGTTACGTCCTTTGAATTTGATACTCTCTTGAGTTCAAGAATTACTCAGAAGACAATTAATTCTCCGATATTTTATTTAAGTGCATTTCAGATTGGAATTTTTGCCTATCCTTCTTCAGTAAACATTTAGTTGTTTCAGTGTTTGTACTTTGAATTAAGCATAGAGTCCCACAAATATCTCAAACTGTTACTTGTAGTTCAATCTTTCATGCTGAAATCCAGCCAAATTTTAAAGGATAAGAGAAAAAAGTAGCCGATGGTTAAGGTGAATCATAGCTCACCCAGAAATGTTTTACTGTAAAAGCAAAGCAACATTAGAGCTGTTTGTGGTCTGTTATTCTGTTTACTTTAGAGCCACAAGAACTTCGGTCTGAATGTACAAGTTAACATACACATCACAGTTCAGATAGAATTTTCACTTCAAATTTCAAAGTAGCCATATTTCTAACTAACTGAATTCCTTAACATATAAATCCCTATATCCCTATCTGGGACAAATACAGTTACAGTACAGTTATAAACTAATGAGATTTCGAACTATATGAGTTTGTATTAATGAGGATTTCCTGTAATATAACGTAATGTTGAGTCCATGCACATTAGGGCTTGGATTTGAGTAAATGTGCACATTATATAATTCTTGACACTCAGTGTTTAATGCACTTAAATCTATGATATAATAATCAAATAGAAGTAAAAAGAAATATATAAGTTCTATGGAAAAATATTATTATATTCCAATTTTTATGAAGTTCTTTAAAATAATTTTAAAAAGTTTTAATTATGACATACGTGTAGGCTATAATTTCTTTATTTTACATGACAGATCAAGAAGTCGATCAAGAGATCGTCGCTACAGAAGATCTCGTTCCCGTGGACGTCGTTCTCGATCACGTTCGCCACGCTCCTACGAACATTCCAGAAGGGATAGACGTTCCAGAAGTGGCGAGCGCAGTAGAAAATCCCATTCCGATTCAAAAGATTCAAAAAAAGATGATGACAAAAAAGCAGAAGAAGGCTTCAAATTCGAGGACTTTGATGAGGCCAAATTTGGAATGCTAGACAAAGAAGCTCAACAAAGACAACTTGAAATGGAAATGCAAAAACGTAGAGAACGTATAGAAAAATGGCGCGCAGAACGCAGAAAAAAAGAAATAGAAGAAGGATCTGGCACAGCACCAATTATAATATTGCCTCCAACAAAAAAATGGACACTAGAAGATGACGAAGATGAAGACATGCCAGCTACGGAAACAACTGAAACCAGTAAAAGTGAAGAACCAGAACAGACAACAGGAGGTAACGAGGAAGATGTTGATCCACTCGATGCATATATGCAGGTATGTCAACATTATTTATGCATACAAAAAATAGTAGCATGTATTAAGAATATATTTAATTGATAATTGAGTATAATTTTCATAATTAATTTTCTGTTATGAATGGTTAACATAACTACGATTTATCATCATTTTTATTATGATTCATCCCAAATCATAATATATTAATTATTCTCCATTTAGTATGAAATGGCAGAATATGTTGTAGGTATTTTAATTTTTGAATAAATTATATGCTAGAATTTTATTACTGTGTTAAAGTAAATTTACTACTATCTTTCATAAAATTTAATAATTGTTGGCCAGATATGTAAGTATAGTAAGGTAATTTTTAGTAAGGTAACAGATCTACTAATGTAATTTAATCAGTTTGCATTTATATATTAACTAACTGTAAACATTAGTCATTTTATTTTTTTTACTTTGTAGGGAATTCAGGAAGAAGTGAGGCAATTAAGGCATAAGAATGTGAAGAAAGACCCAACTGGCGAGGTATTTTCTTTTATGTATATGATATATAAATTTAGCCTGTTTTGTTTAGTCTCAAAATTTAAATTTTTTGTTAAATATAACAGGAAAAAGGTCAAGGAAAAGTAACTGTCATCATGGGGGTGGCTAAGAAGAAAGATGCTTCACGTAAAGGAGAGTTGATGGAACAGGATCAAGATGCTTTAGAAGTAATAAATTTTCCATAACTTTTATATTTTGAAACTTAGACATGATGATTTGATTTTTTTTTTATTCAAACTTATACTAGACTTTCACTTCTAAGACATAATTAATTCCTGGGAAATGACTGTTAAGTAAACTATTATATTTAATTGTTAATATAAACCCAGAATCATAAATTGAGATGGTGTTTTTATAAATATAGTTTAAAACAATGTGGTGGCTTGCAGACTAGTGACAGTTCATGAGCCATTCTGCAAATTTACAGAAAGTTTTCATGATAAACATGGTATGAACTAGTACTGATTAAAAAACTCCAACAGCAAATTGCTTATCTTTCCCAGCAACATTTAAAATTTTTGTGGCATCATCTGTTATATTTTATTTTAAAATTTTTAAAATATTTTTAATAATTATAAAATGGCAAAAAGCTTAATTATCCCATTTAATCCCAGTTGTTATACAGAGGGAAAGTATGTCAATCCAGCAAAAAATGACCTTTACAGATTTTTCATTTTTGGACTCGGGATACCTTGAAATGTTGAGAAATGCAAAAAAATTGGGGTAATTTCTGTATGTACGGATGTAAGTATTTGAGGGGCACAATTTTTTTCATCCTGTTTGAAGCTTAATAACTCCTGTGCTTTTTGTCGAAAATACATAAAATATGAGTTTATATCCTTTCTAGGTAATTTAATGTACTATAAAACTTCATTTCAGTATTCTTCAGAAGAGGAAACAGAAGATCTGCAATCAGCTATGTCAAATCTGCAGGCAAATAAAACTAAAAAGCTCGTCACCATCAGTAAGAATGATATTACATATTTGCCTTTTCGTAAGAATTTCTATGTGGAGGTTCCAGAATTAGCCAAGATGACTCCTGATGGTAAGTTTGATTTAAAACTTTATTATGTATATTACACATCAGAGTTTTTAAAATTCATTTTATTTATTATGCTTTTACAGAGGTTGAAAGTTATCGCGATGAATTAGAAGGTATCAAAGTTCGAGGGAAAGGTTGTCCGAAACCGATCAAAAATTGGGCACAGTGTGGAGTAAGCAAAAAAGTTTTGGAAATATTAAAGAAGTAAGTTAGAAAAATTACAATTTCAAAAAACAGGATTAAATCTAGAAATTATAATTTTTGGATTTTTCTCATATATTTTATTATATTGAGATGATTGATGTTAATTCTATGTTGAATTATTTGTATCATTCCGTAAGTTTCTTATAGGATGAAACAGGGTGTCTGAAAAGTTGCTGTGCAGTGAGAAATTTGTAATGACATTAATGTTATATATATGGCATACAAGACTAATAAATTGTATACTCTACATTTCCACTCTGCAGAAAATGGCATTAGTACTTACTCATGGATATTTTGGTTTTTGGTCTACAGTTTTTGAAAGACTTCTTTGCCGATCACGTAATCTCCCATGGAATTTGACACACTGAGTCCTTGGACCTCTGGGGAACATTTCTGATATTTGCTGTAGGAGAAACTACAATACTGTGCATAAAACTTCACTTTTATTAAAACTTTACTTAAACCTGTTCCTCTGCACAGTTCACTTTGGACACCCTAAGTCCAAAGTGAACTGTGGACACCCTATCTGTATAAGTTTGTTATAAAAATATAAATACAAAATATGAAGTTTAGTTCAATTCTTTTATCAAGATTTATTGCTTAAAATTTTCAGGATTATCATTTGTAATATTAATATTCAGTAATTTAAATGTTAACTCAGAGGATATTGACTAACAAGGAATCATACCTTGAGAGCCCTCCCAGATATTGGCAAAATTTACAGTAATAAAAACATTTCAAATCTAATTCATTCCAAGAGGTTCAAACTCTGAAGTGTTTAAAGTCCAAAGCAATTTTTCCCATTAGAAATAATGGAAAGGGAATTATTTCATCCTATACCCTAAACATTTAATTATAATATTTGTGAAATTTAACACATTAATGCTAATATGAGATTGTATTTTTCTTTAGAAGTTTATTTTAAGCTTTTACTCTACATTTTCTCTGAATAAAATCAAGTCGTAATGTCTTTGGATAAAAATCATCACTCATATTATGCTTTATGAGTTTTTGAAAGTATATAATGCCATAATAGAACATAAAAAATATTTGTATTATGTATGAGAAATATGCTCCTAAACTTTGAACATGTCAAATGTGGTTTAAAAAGTTCCATTTGAGAAATTCTCAACTGAAGGATACAAAACATATATGGAGAACCCAAAATCTATCAACAAAGAAAAATTACAAGAAAAAATTGTTAAAAATTGGCAAATAATACACAATATATATAACCAAACATATCAAAAATAAAATGAAAAAAGCACTGAAAACACATAAGCCTAAGATGACTTAGGCACACAACAGATTGCATTTATGCTTCAATCACATTTTTTACTGCACATGCAGTTCAAACTTCAAAGCATTGTTCAAACTCTGATGCAAATTTTTGTCGAATTTAGCATTTGAACTCTGAAATATTTGAAGTTAGAGTCATACGAAGTATGAGGTATCGCTGTACTCGTAAAATGATTGAAAATAACATACAAACATGTGTCAATATGCATTGACAATTGTTTGTGCAGTGATTGTTTTGATCTGCACAACATTAGTTTCAGTTTGCATTACATATCAATAAAGAAACTGTGAAAATTAATTCTTTAAATGTTGCAAAACTTTTATTTGATGAAGTGTCATCAACTCCAATTAAGTAAGGAAATTGAAGTAAAAGCAGTTTTTGGAGTCTGAGTCTGTGAAATTCTTTTGATTCCAGGGACTACTCCAACCTCAAAGTTTACTATTGGTAAAATGTGAAGTAAGAAAAATACTTTTTAATTAATTAGTATCTAAAGAAATTTCTTAGAAAACAGACACTTCAATAAATTTAGATATTAAAATGATATTAACCCATAAGAGGCATTTCATANGATAGATGGATTAAATGAATCATAATGGCATTCAGGAGTTGATCAGTAAGAATAAATTCTTAACAGCAGCTTCATTGAGAATAAAGGTAGTTCAATATTTCGGTAATGTTTGAATATTAGAGGCATGTCAAATTATAACAACATACAGCAACCCAATTCAATTAGTATTACCAAATGATCCAATGGATTATTTATTAGACTATATTAAGTTTAACTTAATAATTAGATATATATCAGTTTGGCTAGGTTTATTGAAATGGTGGCTTAATTGCCTGCCTCTATCCAAATTGCTTTGTATCTAATTATTAAATTAGCCTTAATACAGCCTGATAAATAATTTGGTGGATCATTTGGGAATCCATGCCAAACTGTTAAGCAACCTGATAATTATAGAAATAATGTTAAAATAAAATCAAAAGTTGTAATTATCTATTCTCAATGAGGTTGAGTAATTTCAAGACAACTTTATAATGAAATATTTAAAATTAGACAGGATTTGATATCCAAGAAGTTGACATTTTGTCTGTTATACAAATATTTATAGTTTATTTCATTTTTAAGTGTATTCTATTTCTTGGTTTGGTTTGATAGGCTATGTTACACCTGGGATCTGCCAAGCGGATGCCTCCCAGGAGGACTTTTTAAGTGAAGCTGGTCTCTATTTAGGTGTTAGGCATATAAAGGAAAACAGGAAAATTCCATATGGCCAACTTGTTGGTGAGGTGAAAATCTGCAACTTGTAATCAACTTCTGGCATTCAGTGGTTTTATTCACTTAGCCACTGGTGGATTCCTGTCTTTTCATTGGTTATCAAAACTGCTATGATTTTAAATGCAAGTGAACTTCTGAGTCTGCCTTGTTAATTAATTAATTTAAAAGTCAGAAATTTTTTGTTCAAAATAGTCTTACATAAAAGAGCTTTAAATAAAAAGTTTTAAGCAGTTGTGTGGCTTTACATATACAATTATTAAAAATGATTGTTATAGTTATAAAAATAATTGTTTATAAATAATGGACAAGTGTTATAAAAAAAAAAGAGAGAGGGAGAGAGAGAGGATACCTTTAATGTATAAAAGATGAAAGAATGTATAAGCAATAATCATCAATAGCTTTTGTTTCCTTGATGTTATGAAATTCCAAGCAGCATTCTTGTTACATTATTTTTATATTCACATAGTCATTTCCCTAAAGGAGAGTAGTTGAGATGTCTTTCAGAAGATGAATGTATATGCACAATAATTCTACTGATCTTAGTTTTGACAGGATTATTTAATTCAATGCTATCCTTGATTGTGGAGTTGTTAATACTGTTCTCTCAATGATAGAATGAACAAATTTTCTTGAGTTAACATGGTTTATAAGTAATTTAGTTAGGAAGTTGCAATTATCTAAATGATAGTCATATCCTATTATCCAAATGCGTATGTTCTACTGTGATTTACAATAGCATGAAGCATATTATAATTATGTGCATAAACAGATATATATTAATAATTACTTAGTTTACTTGCATATTCTAAAGTAATTAAATAAACACCAAAACAAATGAAAACAGAGGTTGGTGACAGCTTCCTGTGTCTGCATTTGTTCTCTATTTCCTTCTTTGTCAAATAATTCAAATTAAATAATACCAGTATTTATAATACTGAGATTATTTCATTCAGTTGGCACAATGATTACTAAATAATGTCATTTGTTGTAGCAGAATTCAGATGTAGGGTATTCGGATACTGGGATATTGCTGTATATGTAAAAAGCTGCAGGTATAAAAAGATCAATAGATATCATTAAAAAAAAAAGAAAAGAAGACTTCATGTATTTTTAATACAAAATGTTATATATGTGAGAACTTTAGAATGGTTATTATTTTATCCTTAAAATTATAATTCCTTCAAACCAGTGTGTTTAGTTTATAAGTAGGTTTAGAAGATAAGTTTGGTTTATAATTTATAAATTATTTTTATATGTTATGATTCAGTTAAATTATTAAATAATTTAGCATTGATAAAGATATTGTTGCCATCTTATAATAAATTTGTGATTAGAATTAATTAAATTAATTAATAAATAATGTAGAAAACATCCGGAAGAAAAGATCACTCCAAAGGAGAACTCGAATCCGCATATCAGGTTTGTTACTAGTTACGCTATCTACCTCCGGTCCAATCTTTATGTCCTGACATATAAAATTTGGAAATTATAATATTACCATACAGTCTAGCATTTCTTGCCAAATATATCCTGTAAATTCCAGTTGTTTCATTTATTTAATTTTATAAAGCTACATTGGTCTTGCTGACTCACTTATGTGAAATGTTTGATTAGATGCAGACATCTTACTAAAAAAACAGTATGGAACAGTTGAAAGGTATTACAGATTATCAAATAAATCAAATATTTTAAGTCTCTACAGATGTCAAAGTTTGATCTTCAACATCTTGTAGAATGCGAAGGTGTTTGAGAGGTCCATTAATTTAAATGCCAGCCTTCTACCTCCCAAACTTCTGTGAATTGCAACACAGCCAAGATGGGGCTGTCAAACAAAATAACCCACAAATGGATATAGATTAATTACCATAATTACCATTCATCTAGTGTTGTTTGTTTGCTGTTTCTTACAGTACCATTTTTAACAACAGTTGGGTCTGATGGAACAGCTGAAAAATGTAAATTACATAAGTATAATGATACTGTAACTGAAACATTGATTGCAATACAGTAGAGCGTGGTTTATCTGAAAGTCGGTTATCTGAAAGAATTCCAGTCGGCAAATTTAAATTTTCGCTAGTGCTGTGGCTCTGCAATCTTTGGCTATATCTTGGGCTACTCCAATATTTTTTATGTTTGTGTATGTGTTTTAGCTGGCAGCACTGTCACTTTTGTGTGGTGTTTTTCTAAGGACTGTGTGTCATGCTGAATTGAAAGTTTTTGATACTAGATAACTTGTAAAGTATAAATTTTTTTTGTTTTTATATTTTTCAATATATTTAATTTGTTTGTAAAAAATAAAGAAATAATTTTTAACGATACAATAGCCACGATTATTATTTTAAAAAGTTTACATTTGGCTTAACATTGACGAAAATTCAATGCGAAGCAACATGCAACGGAGAAAAATTTCAACACGGGATAGGTTAATGTATTTTTTCGTACATAATTGGTTATCTGAAAAATAAGTTATCCGAACAACCCCAGTCCCCAATTGATTTGGATAAACGACGCTCTACTGTATTTGAAATTTTATATTTTCTTGGGCATGGTAATTCTGATATTAATGCCAACTGGTAACAATAACTATTATTACAATAAGCAGATTCTACTCTATTTGTATTTGTTAATTTGTTAATGCATCAGCGACGAAGTCCATTTTACAATTTCCAACTTTTAAAATGGCAAGTAACAAGCACAGCAAATTTTCTGGCATTTGAACTGTCTTGTTGACCAATTTTTAACAAGAAAACTTATTATTTTGATATTTAAAAATAACTTTTTAAAAAACAACCTTCTAAACAAAGTGTTTATATAAACAAAACTTACCAACTTTATTGTGCTTTGTGTATACTTTTCAAAACTATGTGCTAAGCACAATAAGGTTGGTACATTTTGTTTAAATAACTTTTTATGTTTTTTTATCTTATACTTCATGCCCAGTGCCAGGTATATTGAGCCCTGTCTTTCACCACAGAGCCACCTCATTGTGGGCCTGGCTGAACTCACAATTAGCCTGAAAAGGAGCCCTGTGACAGCCCACAGGGTGGAAAGAGAGAGGAGAAAACTTACAGAAACTTTGTAGCAAGGAGTTAGGTGTATAGTATGGAAAACTTTTGTTAAAAATTGACCAAAAGGTATTTTGTGTAGTAGAAATGTTAACAATCACAAGTGCTGTTTGTTGTACAGTCAGTATCTTGAGAATATTTATGTACATGTCTTTTTAAACTTTACATGAACATATTTAATTAATTTTAGTTTTTACACATGTAATAAGACTTCATTTATAAATTTTTGCATTATAAGATGGTTTTATTTTAATGTTTTGACACGAAATGGGGGCTTTGATTTGTCATTGATTTAAATTCCATCGCACCTCTCAAGCTCCAGATGCAGCAACAAATAGCAATGGAAGTTATAAAACTTATGTATGAATATTAATTATGGATCACATTTTGTTACGTCGAGAAAATTTTTTCACTGAAACCATAATATTTCTTATTGAGGTATAAAAGTACATAAACAAGATAGTATTAGGAAATAAAGGATACGTGCCTTAATACATTGAGTATCAGTTATATTTACAGTAATACCTCGACTTACGCTACCCTGACTTATGCGAACCTGGAGTTACGCGATTTTCAAATCTCGTTGATTCGTCTTTTGTTTGAGCGCCACGCAACCCTTGATTACTCACTCCCTCCACACTATTGTTCAGCTTATATGTTTGGACGTGTCGCGTGGAATCGACACATAGCTACAATTTATTTTGTGTTATTTATTTCTGTGTTTGTTATATCTACGGAGACTTGAGAGACTCTATGTGGGGATTTCTTGTAATTTTGAATGAATCAAAAGACAAGATAAGATTAACGAGAACATTTATTAGCTTACATACATCCAATTTGGATTTTACACAAATTGTGAAATTATACCCCAACTTACGTGAATTCAATTTACGTGGTTATCGCTTGGTCCCACCTATCGCATAAGTTTGGGGTATTACTGTACTTATCTTATCTCATGGCATGAGAATTATGCATATGCAGGAAATCCTCATTAGTTCGAAATTCAGTGGACAAAATAATCAAAATATTGAGTTTTGAATTATCCGAGATTTACACATTTCTGTAAAATATGCCAAATGCCACGTAACTGATGTAATTTATTAAGTAAATGGAATATGGTTATGTATACAGAATGCTACTTTCTTTAATTAAATTAATAATTATAAATACTGTATAATTCAATGTCTATAATGTTATGCATACTCTAATACTAACTTCATTGTGCAGACTTATCATTGCATTTGTCTTTTATTCACCAGGGAGAAAGGAACATATGATCGTTTTTAAAAGTTCTTTTAAAAAAATGTCACATATTCTTCACTTGCATTCTATTTTAGAATTTACCAATCCAATGAAGATCTCCTGTGCAGATTGAAAACATTATTCCATCGTTTCATTGAGCAGTGCCATTTTGTACAGAGAGATAATGTAAATTATTAAGGTCCGATATGTGCTTAATTATAGTTAATAATAATTTTGTGAAATTTATATTAAACATTTTAATAAGAAGCTAAAATTAGCAGGATTTGCCAGATATAATCAATCACTTTTATAACCACTTAAAACGGGTTTTTTTTCCTTTTGGATGAATAAACTGAAATGTTACGTCCTTTGAATTTGATACTCTCTTGAGTTCAAGAATTACTCAGAAGACAATTAATTCTCCGATATTTTATTTAAGTGCATTTCAGATTGGAATTTTTGCCTATCCTTCTTCAGTAAACATTTAGTTGTTTCAGTGTTTGTACTTTGAATTAAGCATAGAGTCCCACAAATATCTCAAACTGTTACTTGTAGTTCAATCTTTCATGCTGAAATCCAGCCAAATTTTAAAGGATAAGAGAAAAAAGTAGCCGATGGTTAAGGTGAATCATAGCTCACCCAGAAATGTTTTACTGTAAAAGCAAAGCAACATTAGAGCTGTTTGTGGTCTGTTATTCTGTTTACTTTAGAGCCACAAGAACTTCGGTCTGAATGTACAAGTTAACATACACATCACAGTTCAGATAGAATTTTCACTTCAAATTTCAAAGTAGCCATATTTCTAACTAACTGAATTCCTTAACATATAAATCCCTATATCCCTATCTGGGACAAATACAGTTACAGTACAGTTATAAACTAATGAGATTTCGAACTATATGAGTTTGTATTAATGAGGATTTCCTGTAATATAACGTAATGTTGAGTCCATGCACATTAGGGCTTGGATTTGAGTAAATGTGCACATTATATAATTCTTGACACTCAGTGTTTAATGCACTTAAATCTATGATATAATAATCAAATAGAAGTAAAAAGAAATATATAAGTTCTATGGAAAAATATTATTATATTCCAATTTTTATGAAGTTCTTTAAAATAATTTTAAAAAGTTTTAATTATGACATACGTGTAGGCTATAATTTCTTTATTTTACATGACAGATCAAGAAGTCGATCAAGAGATCGTCGCTACAGAAGATCTCGTTCCCGTGGACGTCGTTCTCGATCACGTTCGCCACGCTCCTACGAACATTCCAGAAGGGATAGACGTTCCAGAAGTGGCGAGCGCAGTAGAAAATCCCATTCCGATTCAAAAGATTCAAAAAAAGATGATGACAAAAAAGCAGAAGAAGGCTTCAAATTCGAGGACTTTGATGAGGCCAAATTTGGAATGCTAGACAAAGAAGCTCAACAAAGACAACTTGAAATGGAAATGCAAAAACGTAGAGAACGTATAGAAAAATGGCGCGCAGAACGCAGAAAAAAAGAAATAGAAGAAGGATCTGGCACAGCACCAATTATAATATTGCCTCCAACAAAAAAATGGACACTAGAAGATGACGAAGATGAAGACATGCCAGCTACGGAAACAACTGAAACCAGTAAAAGTGAAGAACCAGAACAGACAACAGGAGGTAACGAGGAAGATGTTGATCCACTCGATGCATATATGCAGGTATGTCAACATTATTTATGCATACAAAAGATAGTAGCATGTATTAAGAATATATTTAATTGATAATTGAGTATAATTTTCATAATTAATTTTCTGTTATGAATGGTTAACATAACTACGATTTATCATCATTTTTATTATGATTCATCCCAAATCATAATATATTAATTATTCTCCATTTAGTATGAAATGGCAGAATATGTTGTAGGTATTTTAATTTTTGAATAAATTATATGCTAGAATTTTATTACTGTGTTAAAGTAAATTTACTACTATCTTTCATAAAATTTAATAATTGTTGGCCAGATATGTAAGTATAGTAAGGTAATTTTTAGTAAGGTAACAGATCTACTAATGTAATTTAATCAGTTTGCATTTATATATTAACTAACTGTAAACATTAGTCATTTTATTTTTTTTACTTTGTAGGGAATTCAGGAAGAAGTGAGGCAATTAAGGCATAAGAATGTGAAGAAAGACCCAACTGGCGAGGTATTTTCTTTTATGTATATGATATATAAATTTAGCCTGTTTTGTTTAGTCTCAAAATTTAAATTTTTTGTTAAATATAACAGGAAAAAGGTCAAGGAAAAGTAACTGTCATCATGGGGGTGGCTAAGAAGAAAGATGCTTCACGTAAAGGAGAGTTGATGGAACAGGATCAAGATGCTTTAGAAGTAATAAATTTTCCATAACTTTTATATTTTGAAACTTAGACATGATGATTTGATTTTTTTCATTCAAATTTATACTAGACTTTCATGTCTAAGACATAATTAATTCCTGGGAAATGACTGTTAAGTAAACTATTATATTTAATTGTTAATATAAACCCAGAATCATAAATTGAGATGGTGTTTTTATAAATATAGTTTAAAACAATGTGGTGGCTTGCAGACTAGTGACAGTTCATGAGCCATTCTGCAAATTTACAGAAAGTTTTCATGATAAACATGGTATGAACTAGTACTGATTAAAAAACTCCAACAGCAAATTGCTTATCTTTCCCAGCAACATTTAAAATTTTTGTGGCATCATCTGTTATATTTTATTTTAAAATTTTTAAAATATTTTTAATAATTATAAAACGGCAAAAAGCTTAATTATCCCATTTAATCCCAGTTGTTATACAGAGGGAAAGTATGTCAATCCAGCAAAAAATGACCTTTACAGATTTTTCATTTTTGGACTCGGGATACCTTGAAATGTCGAGAAATGCAAAAAAATTGGGGTAATTTCTGTATGTACGGATGTAAGTATTTGAGGGGCACAATTTTTTTCATCCTGTTTGAAGCTTAATAACTCCTGTGCTTTTTGTCGAAAATACATAAAATATGAGTTTATATCCTTTCTAGGTAATTTAATGTACTATAAAACTTCATTTCAGTATTCTTCAGAAGAGGAAACAGAAGATCTGCAATCAGCTATGTCAAATCTGCAGGCAAATAAAACTAAAAAGCTCGTCACCATCAGTAAGAATGATATTACATATTTGCCTTTTCGTAAGAATTTCTATGTGGAGGTTCCAGAATTAGCCAAGATGACTCCTGATGGTAAGTTTGATTTAAAACTTTATTATGTATATTACACATCAGAGTTTTTAAAATTCATTTTATTTATTACGCTTTTACAGAGGTTGAAAGTTATCGCGATGAATTAGAAGGTATCAAAGTTCGAGGGAAAGGTTGTCCGAAACCGATCAAAAATTGGGCACAGTGTGGAGTAAGCAAAAAAGTTTTGGAAATATTAAAGAAGTAAGTTAGAAAAATTACAATTTTTAAAAAGCAGGATTAAATCTAGAAATTATAATTTTTGGATTTTTCTCATATATTTTATTATATTGAGATGATTGATGTTAATTCTATGTTGAATTATTTGTATCATTCCGTAAGTTTCTTATAGGATGAAACAGGGTGTCTGAAAAGTTGCTGTGCAGTGAGAAATTTGTAATGACATTAATGTTATATATATGGCATACAAGACTAATAAATTGTATACTCTACATTTCCACTCTGTAGAAAATGGCATTAGTACTTACTCATGGATATTTTGGTTTTTGGTCTACAGTTTTTGAAAGACTTCTTTGCCGATCACGTAATCTCCCATGGAATTTGACACACTGAGTCCTTGGACCTCTGGGGAACATTTCTGATATTTGCTGTAGGAGAAACTACAATACTGTGCATAAAACTTCACTTTTATTAAAACTTTACTTAAACCTGTTCCTCTGCACAGTTCACTTTGGACACCCTAAGTCCAAAGTGAACTGTGGACACCCTATCTGTATAAGTTTGTTATAAAAATATAAATACAAAATATGAAGTTTAGTTCAATTCTTTTATCAAGATTTATTGCTTAAAATTTTCAGGATTATCATTTGTAATATTAATATTCAGTAATTTAAATGTTAACTCAGAGGATATTGACTAACAAGGAATCATACCTTGAGAGCCCTCCCAGATATTGGCAAAATTTACAGTAATAAAAACATTTCAAATCTAATTCATTCCAAGAGGTTCAAACTCTGAAGTGTTTAAAGTCCAAAGCAATTTTTCCCATTAGAAATAATGGAAAGGGAATTATTTCATCCTATACCCTAAACATTTAATTATAATATTTGTGAAATTTAACACATTAATGCTAATATGAGATTGTATTTTTCTTTAGAAGTTTATTTTAAGCTTTTACTCTACATTTTCTCTGAATAAAATCAAGTCGTAATGTCTTTGGATAAAAATCATCACTCATATTATGCTTTATGAGTTTTTGAAAGTATATAATGCCATAATAGAACATAAAAAATATTTGTATTATGTATGAGAAATATGCTCCTAAACTTTGAACATGTCAAATGTGGTTTAAAAAGTTCCATTTGAGAAATTCTCAACTGAAGGATACAAAACATATATGGAGAACCCAAAATCTATCAACAAAGAAAAATTACAAGAAAAAATTGTTAAAAATTGGCAAATAATACACAATATATATAACCAAACATATCAAAAATAAAATGAAAAAAGCACTGAAAACACATAAGCCTAAGATGACTTAGGCACACAACAGATTGCATTTATGCTTCAATCACATTTTTTACTGCACATGCAGTTCAAACTTCAAAGCATTGTTCAAACTCTGATGCAAATTTTTGTCGAATTTAGCATTTGAACTCTGAAATATTTGAAGTTAGAGTCATACGAAGTATGAGGTATCGCTGTACTCGTAAAATGATTGAAAATAACATACAAACATGTGTCAATATGCATTGACAATTGTTTGTGCAGTGATTGTTTTGATCTGCACAACATTAGTTTCAGTTTGCATTACATATCAATAAAGAAACTGTGAAAATTAATTCTTTAAATGTTGCAAAACTTTTATTTGATGAAGTGTCATCAACTCCAATTAAGTAAGGAAATTGAAGTAAAAGCAGTTTTTGGAGTCTGAGTCTGTGAAATTCTTTTGATTCCAGGGACTACTCCAACCTCAAAGTTTACTATTGGTAAAATGTGAAGTAAGAAAAATACTTTTTAATTAATTAGTATCTAAAGAAATTTCTTAGAAAACAGACACTTCAATAAATTTAGATATTAAAATGATATTAACCCATAAGAGGCATTTCATAGTAAAATGTTATTTTTATGTATAATGTCAGAAAAAAAGGTTTATTTTATAAATTTATTTCTGTTATTGATGATAAAAAACTGATAGGCCATTTTTTTTAACAGACATGGTTATGAAAAACCAACACCGATTCAAGCTCAGGCTATTCCAGCAGTCATGTCCGGAAGAGATATCATTGGCATTGCTAAAACAGGATCTGGAAAAACTCTTGCATTTCTCATACCTATGCTGCGTCACATACTCGATCAGCCACAGCTTGATTCTGATGAAGGACCGATCGGTAAAGATACTTTGAATATTTTTTATCTTTAAATTCATTCTGTCTATGATTTGATAAAACAGTCATTTTTGATATTATGTGCATGAATTGTTTTAAAAATTAAAAGTTTTTTTCTACATTTAGTAGGATAAATTTTTAAGAATACTCAATTGATTCATGAACACAGTTATATTAAAGCCTTCAATTTTAACCACTCAACTCTTAAAGCAATGAAAGCTCCATTTTAAAAAAGACATTAAAAAGTATGTTAGAAAAGGACTAAATAACAGCATCATCATAAACTCATCCTTACACTTCAAGAAAACATTATTTTCTTGAAAGTGTAAGGATGAGTTTATTAGAATGAGTTTATTAGAATGTCTTCTAATTAGGTAAGTCATTACCTAATTAGAAGACATTCTTAGGATTGGTTTAAAGTGCAATGGCTGTGAGTTGTTGTGATAATAGATTCTGCTATATGTGCTATTCTCCCCTTTGCTAGATGATGAACAAACAAACACAGTCACGCTCACTTCTGGTTTAGTGATACGACTCTAAAATTAAATGATGATCAATTTTTATGCTTGATGCCAATGCTGCAATGTGCTCCATCATAGTGAGTCAAGATAGCTGCTGGCTAGAGTTTGACTATAAACCAGACAATGTTCTTATCAACTCCAGTGATAGTGACCTTAAAATTCCATGCTGCCATTCGACTATAAATCAGTCTTTAGTATGTAAAGTATTAGAATATCTCTTGATAATATGAAGTAGTTAGATAAAAAAGTTTTTAATTAAAGTCTGAAGAGCACAGTTTTCATTAAAATTAATAAAATGAAAGTTTGTACTTTTTGATAGTCCAGTAAATATAGGTATCCCTTGCTTTATGTGGGATTTGATTAATGCATGAAATTAATTGTGACAATCCCTTTATATATGTGGCAGAAGTTTTAATTAATGCGGCTTTAACAGTTTTTTACTTAACATAGATACCTTATTTGATTAACGTAATTTTGATATATGTGAAAGCATCAAGGGATTAATTAACCATGTTAATTAAGGGATATCTGTAATGCAGGACAAATTTGTAATTTGTCTTAAAGTTTACTCATTTTATTAATTTTGAATTAGAAAAATATTTTTATAGTTTTTAGTGTAGTTCGATTAAAACACAATAGTCGATCAGATACATTTCTGTATATAAATTTTTACTCAGATTTCTGCATGGGGACGTGCTACAGATTTAGCTTATTATATAAATTTTAATAAATTTAATACCATATTTACTTGAATAATCCATGCACATTTTTTCCAAAAATTGAATGCACAGTTTATTCAAAAATATATGATGCAACCAGCGAAATCTATGTGCTTAGCATTTTACTTACTTTGCTAGTGATAAATTTCACTTTAACTGAATAACTTTGCATAATATAATGATCATCTGTAGTTGATAGCTAGTAACAATATTATTAAACATTTTTGTACAATTAGACTCATAAAAGTGAGCATAAATAAAGTAAGTTAAACATGCAATTAACAAGGGGATGGCATGACATTGGAGTCACTGATTTTGATCAAACTTGGTGAGATTATAGTGTATCCCTAATGACTGACATGTGCCAAGCAGTAAGGCACAATACTTAAAAATAATTGAGGTTGAAAATTGCAAATCACTTAAAACCTTTAGAATNAATTAGGTAAGTCATTACCTAATTAGAAGACATTCTTAGGATTGGTTTAAAGTGCAATGGCTGTGAGTTGTTGTGATAATAGATTCTGCTATATGTGCTATTCTCCCCTTTGCTAGATGATGAACAAACAAACACAGTCACGCTCACTTCTGGTTTAGTGATACGACTCTAAAGTTAAATGATGATCAATTTTTATGCTTGATGCCAATGCTGCAATGTGCTCCATCATAGTGAGTCAAGATAGCTGCTGGCTAGAGTTTGACTATAAACCAGACAATGTTCTTATCAACTCCAGTGATAGTGACCTTAAAATTCCATGCTGCCATTGGACTATAAATCAGTCTTTAGTATGTAAAGTATTAGAATATCTCTTGATAATATGAAGTAGTTAGATAAAAACGTTTTTAATTAAAGTCTGAAGAGCACAGTTTTCATTAAAATTAATAAAATGAAAGTTTGTACTTTTTGATAGTCCAGTAAATATAGGTATCCCTTGCTTTATGTGGGATTTGATTAATGCATGAAATTAATTGTGACAATCCCTTTATATACGTGGCAGAAGTTTTAATTAATGCGGCTTTAACAGTTTTTTATTTAACATAGATATCTTATTTGATTAACGTAATTTTGATATATGTGAAAGCATCAAGGGATTAATTAACCGTGTTAATTAAGGGATATCTGTAAAGCAGGACAAATTTGTAATTTGTCTTAAAGTTTACTCATTTTATTAATTTTGAATTAGAAAAATATTTTTATAGTTTTTAGTGTAGTTCGATTAAAACACAATAGTCGATCAGATACATTTCTGTATATAAATTTTTACTCAGATTTCTGCATGGGGATGTGCTACAGATTTAGCTTATTATATAAATTTTAATAAATTTAATACCATATTTACTTGAATAATCCATGCACATTTTTTCCAAAAATTGAATGCACAGTTTATTCAAAAATATATGATGCAACCAGCGAAATCTATGTGCTTAGCATTTTACTTACTTTGCTAGTGATAAATTTCACTTTAACTGAATAACTTTGCATAATATAATGATCATCTGTAGTTGATAGCTAGTAACAATATTATTAAACATTTTTGTACAATTAGACTCATAAAAGTGAGCATAAATAAAGTAAGTTAAACATGCAATTAACAAGGGGATGGCATGACATTGGAGTCACTGATTTTGATCAAACTTGGTGAGATTATAGTGTATCCCTAATGACTGACATGTGCCAAGCAGTAAGGCACAATACTTAAAAATAATTGAGATTGAAAATTGCAAATCACTTAAAACCTTTAGAATTTCCACCATTTACACATTGGCTAGTGGCTTGGTGGTATTAATCTGATTGTTTTTTCCTGAAACTATAATTTTTATTTTATTGTTGATAGTTTTAAATTTATTCTATTATCAGAGAGAAAAACTGGTTTATTTTTAGAAAACTACAAATGCATAATAAACAGGATAATTAAACAATAAAATCCATCTATTTTAAGTAGCAAGTTGATGTCAAAGGCAATTAAGAAATGCTACCTAACAATATTTATTTAAATACAAAACATTTTCTGTATATTCATGTACAGTATGTACTTACTCTGGCAACAAAGACATTGTTTAATCTAAATATGCCTATAATTGTGTCTATAATGTAGAAATGTATTCTTCAGAAGAGGAAACAGAAGATCTGCAATCAGCTATGTCAAATCTGCAGGCAAATAAAACTAAAAAGCTCGTCACCATCAGTAAGAATGATATTACATATTTGCCTTTTCGTAAGAATTTCTATGTGGAGGTTCCAGAATTAGCCAAGATGACTCCTGATGGTAAGTTTGATTTAAAACTTTATTATGTATATTACACATCAGAGTTTTTAAAATTCATTTTATTTATTATGCTTTTACAGAGGTTGAAAGTTATCGCGATGAATTAGAAGGTATCAAAGTTCGAGGGAAAGGTTGTCCGAAACCGATCAAAAATTGGGCACAGTGTGGAGTAAGCAAAAAAGTTTTGGAAATATTAAAGAAGTAAGTTAGAAAAATTACAATTTTTAAAAAGCAGGATTAAATCTAGAAATTATAATTTTTGGATTTTTCTCATATATTTTATTATATTGAGATGATTGATGTTAATTCTATGTTGAATTATTTGTATCATTCCGTAAGTTTCTTATAGGATGAAACAGGGTGTCTGAAAAGTTGCTGTGCAGTGAGAAATTTGTAATGACATTAATGTTATATATATGGCATACAAGACTAATAAATTGTATACTCTACATTTCCACTCTGTAGAAAATGGCATTAGTACTTACTCATGGATATTTTGGTTTTTGGTCTACAGTTTTTGAAAGACTTCTTTGCCGATCACGTAATCTCCCATGGAATTTGACCCACTGAGTCCTTGNCCTCATCAAGTTTGATCAAAATTGGTAACCCCAATATCATGTCATCCTCTTGTAAGACTAATAGTAAATAATCTTCATATCTGTATCTCTTAGTATAAACTATTTACCTATTAGCAGTTTTTTTTTTCCTTTGATTCAAATTAAACATCAGAAAGTTATACTTTTCTTTAATTAGTGAATGAATTCATTATAAAATACATAACTAAAAATTGTAGATATACAGATAATTTATTTTTCCTTAGTATTTTAATCTTTTAATGCCACATGTATGTACTTATAAACTAAGCATAGTCATATTGAATGCTACAGAACAGCAAAAGGAATGGAGGTGCAAATTATTCGAGTAAATATGATGATTTAATTAAGTGCTTTTTAATAAATTAACTAATGTTCTTTAATCTTTAGGTATAATTATGACACCAACACGAGAATTAGCTATGCAGATCACCAAGGAATGCAAAAAGTTATGTAAAGCCCTAGCCTTGAGAGTAGTATGTGTTTACGGAGGTACTGGAATGTCAGAACAGATTGCAGAATTGAAACGAGGGGCCGAAATTATAGTATGTACTCCTGGAAGAATGATAGACATGTTGGCTGCCAATAATGGTGAGTTTAATAATTGACTAAATAAGATTATTTTCTTTAAATTTTTAACAAATGGAAAGTTAAAGATTATAGTCTTATAATTTATAACAATAATTTATAAATGTTGAAATGGCAAGTTTATAAGGAAATTAACCTTTTTTGCAATGCAGTTAATTACTTTGCAACAAAAGCATGTAAAATTTTTTGTAATTATAGCTTAAACTACCAAAAATACTCACAAATATAGAAGAATTATAACAAATGCATAGTTAATTTTGAAATAGTTTGACATGAATCATGAATGAGAATGATATAATGCAAATGAAGAAGCTTTAACCCTTCGGGGAATGCGCCTTTCAGGATCTGACGAGAGGGCGCATTGCGGAAATTGCACCGCATATGTAATATTACTTGATTTAAGTCAATAATTAATTATCGTTTTGAAAATATGATATAGATATACCAGAAAACTATTTTTACGGCATTTTAATGAACAAATTGTTTATAAAATATTTAGATAATAAAAATAGTCACTATATATTCATGAGATGTNATGGTGAGTTTAATAATTGACTAAATAAGATTATTTTCTTTAAATTTTTAACAAATGGAAAATTAAAGATTGTAGTCTTATAATTTATAACAATAATTTATAAATGTTGAAATGGAAAGTTTATAAGGAAATTAACCTTTTTTGCAATGCAGTTAATTTCTTTGCAACAAAAGCATGTAAAATTTTTTGTAATTATAGCTTAAACTACCAAAAATACTCACAAATATACAAATATAGAAGAATTATAGCAAATGCATAATTAATTTTGAAATAGTTTGACATGAATCATGAATGAGAATGATATAATGCAAATGAAAAAGCTTTAATAAGATGCTGTCTTGATTTAATATTTCTGAGATTCATGTAAATTTGAATACATAAATACAGGGTTCCTATGCATGTGGAAAGTCAGGGATTTTCATTTGTGTTCAAAAAAAGTCATGGAATGTTAGGAAATTTATTAAAAATTGTCAAAAAGTCAGGAAATTTGCTTCCTTCCTTGGCTGCCTTGTTGATTTTTTGCTGACAATATGTTTGACTATGTATAACCATCTGCAAGCAGCAAGAAGTAATATGGTACAATACAACTTATGAAAAGGAGTGAACAGTACTTTTAGGACCCAAAATTTCTCTCAAGCTGACACAAAATTTTCTCAAAAATTTACAAAGTACACAAAATGATAAATAATTTAAATTGTATTATTTATCATTTTTCATTTTAATAATTTTGGTTGCATAACAAAACAATTTGATTTTTTTTAGTTTTTTAATATTTTATAAAGTTCAGATAATTTATTAAGGGATAAATCTGTTAAATATATACTGTTTTATATAGATTATATAGAATTTGTTAATGAATAATAAAAAATAATTGTTTTTTTTTTCAAAGCCATGTAGATTTATGGTTATGGATTAATAACAAAATAACAGAATTTTAATAAAACATTTTATTTTTGATTTTAATAAGTTGGCAATTATAAAAAATATATAACTGTTAATTAGAAAAAATAATTAATTAAAACATTGGAGAAGCAAAATATATGCACATAGGAAGTCAAGTGCTGTTTTATTTTGTCAATGTGCCATACTGTAAGGGTCATGAGGGTCAGGGAATTTGTACAAAGTTGGTCAAGGGAGGTCAGAGAAAGTCATGGAAATTAAAACAAAAGTTTGAATTGGAACCCTGTAAAAAATTATTTTGAAATGTTATTGTTTCAACAACTTGTATATAATAAAATAATGGCATTACAGTAAATAAATTTGCTTCATTTAAATCATCTTAGCTATCAAATTCATTAAATGAAAATAATTTATTTAGTTTAATTATGTGAATTGCCAATATTTTCATAGTTACAAGTACATCTACAAGTAACACATTAATTCAGGCATGATTTCTGTTGATGCACAGTAAAATATTCTCTTACTGGCTCAATTAATGTGGATTTTTTGACACATGGATAAAATTTAATTAACCCTTATCCAGATAAGGTGAGTCAGTCAGACTTTTTTCAACATAGTAATCTTTGTATTTCTTTTTTGATTTAAGGTGATGCTTTATGCATTTGTCAATTTAGGTTTACAAAACTTTATTCTAGAATAATAATGCATTTTGTGTACATTGACCTAAAATATCATAAATTAAAATAAATATATCTTCAAACAGATAATGGGAGTTTATTAGACTCACTGTATCAGATATATAATTTTCTTGTTGAGATAGGCAAAAAGCATTGTGAAGACTGATTGTTGTTGTTGTTTGAAGGTGCTACTTCTTGCTGTTAGTGAATTACTAAAGTTTCAAGTTATTTGCTACAAAATTACATATTTGCAATAAGTATTTGCAGTAAGTAACTTGAAATGTATTTTGTTTCAGGTAACATCTATCTCAATTGTTAAAATGTCTTGGTATCATGTTTTGTCTGAGTAAAACTTTAGGAAATTATACATAACCTCACTGATGATGAACCGACTGTATTTGACAATGTTGAGGAGGAAAATTATGAGTAGTCTGACACAAATCAAAATTATCACGTGTTCCAGATGATATAATTGCTTTTGATTTTGAAAAGGACGATTAAGATTTGGGTACAATGGTAGACCCACATGGTCTTCCATTTCAACTCACCAAAATAAATCTCAGTTATGCAATATTATAAAAAGTGCTTTACACATATCACTAAATGTTGTTCAATCTGGAAAAATGTTGCTGAGATACTTGACAGTTTTTACTTATTTGTAACTTCTGATATACTTTTACAAATTGTTTGGTTTATAAACAAGGAAAGTATATGAGTACTAGCAGATAAGCCCGGCGTTGCTCAGGCAAAAAGTAACGATAGCAAAGATTAAGATTATTACATTATAGCCAATATTATCCGTTTTCACAGAATGCAAGAATTAAGTCCCCCTGTTGCCAGACTAATTAGAAAATTTTTAGATGGGTCTAAAAATATGTTCGATTTTCTGCAAAAATACAAAAAAACCGCATCTGCACTTGTAAATCTTGTACGTCGCTTTCTCTTAACACTTCCCTTGTGGGGAAGTGTTAACAACCTTTCCTCCATGGGAGGAATTTTGACAAATCCCTTCTTAGTGTATGTTCTCATGGCGTACCCTGTGTGCCAAATTCCAACCTTCAACTCCTAACCATTTGGGCTCTGCACATTATTATTATTATTATCAACCCATCTTGATTATATATATATAGATACAGTAACCATTATTTGATACACCAATGAAAACTGTCTGACATAATACAAATCCTGCTATTTTTGGACTTGCTTCAAGACATCTGAAACTCAATAACACAAGTTACAAAGTTTTGTGAAATTATGGTTCTCCTATTTTCAGAGATACTATGGGACACTGCATTCAAGAGTCTTTCATGATGCATTAGATTTGATAATAAAATACAATATCAGAGTGCTGTAAGAAAGACATGTTACCTCCAATACACTGTTCTGCTCTGTAGTGGAGAAAAACCATAAAAGAAAAAAATGATGCTTCATCTGCCTATGAACATGTCTCAAATGAAAAAACATTTTGATGATGTATGCAATGATACTGTATGCATTTAACATTCGGTAGACTTATATGCCATACGTGTAAAATAAGTTCAAATAAAATGTGTTGGCATAATGTAATTCAAGGGATTAATAAAAAACATGTTTTGTGCTAATAATGTATGTTTTGTGCTAATAATTAGTTCAAAATAATAATTTAAAAGAAAGATGTATATCACTCCAAAGAATTAACACTGAGTCCATTGGACTCATCTTATCCATTTGTCTTATAAAAATAGCTTATCCAGACAAGGGTTATTTGATTGTTTCTGTTCCATATTTGCCTGTTATATCAATATTGTATGCGAAAGGCTATTTAAAAAGGAAAAAAAACCAAAATTCACACTTGTAAAACATTAAAAACATTTGTGAAGCATTCCTGTTCTTCAATAATTAAGGAACAAAGTGTATTATACATGGCATTGAAAGAACGGAGATGGTAAAGATTATTTACAAGGAAGATATGTGAGTTCATATTATGACAGCAAATGAAACTGCATTTAGGTATAAAATGAAAACCTGGTTTGAAATCCAGTCCAGATTTCTGTAAGTTATTACAGGTTATATAGATCAGGGCATAGTTTTTTATCTCTCATCCATGCCAACTGATTACATTATAAGTAAGATTGACCATATAACCTACAATGTGATAGATATGTGCATTAGTAGAATCTAAATTGAAACATTTCTGTACCATGAAGTGACAGAAAAATGTTATGCTGGATTAATTGCAATCTGTCCTAACTGGACTGTGAGTTTGACAATCCAGTTAGGGCAGATAGATTAACTATAATCCACTTTTAAATGAACACATAAACATTAATGTCAGATATTTTGAACTAACGAGTCTGCAATGTTTGAATGAAATCAGGAATGTATTATTATTAGTAGTATTATTGTTATTATTATTATTTAAGTGCATTTACTACAATAGTGTCTAATCATATTTAACTATCAAAATGATAAATTAAACTTCTCCATCAGCTGTACTGAAAATGAATATCAATCAATCAAATTGGAGGTTAATCTGTCAAAACCAATAAATTCGATCAATCTTTTTTTTTTTCTTTTTTGATATTTTTATTTGTTAAGTTTTGTTTTTTTGATTTTCGGCTTTCAAAATATACAAGATTAGTTTTATTTTTTATTATTATTAAGAATGATAAATACCATTCCAATTTTCCTTCTGAGCAAAATAAAATATTAATGAAAATATTTCTGTTTTTTGCTTTGATGGATGATGTCTCCAACCGAGTACAGTTGATCGGCGAATGATGATATAAGGTATTTCTTCTTTTGTGGAAAAAAAAATTATTAACATATTTAAATTTCATGCGTTCATGAATAAATCTTTTCAGGTAGAGTAACGAATTTGAAAAGATGTACTTACGTGGTTTTAGACGAAGCAGATCGAATGTTCGACATGGGCTTTGAACCTCAGGTTAGTATGCCAATTTTATGTTACTTGAAAACGCTTTCTGAAAAAATAATGCAGGGTAATATGAGTTCATATATAAAATCATTTTTGTTTTATTACAATAGAATCTATGTTATGTAAGTTGATTATTTGGCATTTGGAACATCAAGCATGATTCCAATGATGTTCCAAACGCCATTGTCAGACTTCTAGGCTTACAAGATGGTGGCGCTCAACGTTCGACATTCACATTTTAGAGATGAAAACTTCAGCTGCAACCTCCCTATTAACAATCTTCCAGGTGGAGTCAACCTTTCTTCAGACCACCTCAATATGTAAAATATTAAAATCTTTCCTCTGGCAATGACGACACTAATAAAAAAATTTGCCAGGACTATAAGTATTTAAACTTAGAAAATTTATTTAAAAATTCTCGTGCGTAAAACAGGATGAATGTTAAGGACACATTTTTATGTACAGTCGTTCCTTGACTTATGAGTTTAATTTGTTTCGTGACAGAACTTGTAACTCAAATTACTCATATGTCAAATCTATTTTTCCCATTAAAATTAATTGAAATGCCATTAATTAGTTTCAGATCCCTAAACACTGCAAATTTTTGTTACATTTTTTAAATAAGAAAAATGTACTTATAAATAATGAATATTGTATAAAAACACAATAGAATGTACTGCAATAAACTAGATGTTGTGGTGTTCACTGCACAGATAAAGAAAGAAAAGATGGGAAATGAGAGACAGTGATGCTGCACACAACAAGGAAGTAAACTATGCCTACATCACTCTATCATGTGTTTGTTTATAAGCTAGCCTGTCAGACATTGGAAGGGTGACAAAAATAAAATTATAGCAGTTTTTCCATCATCTTTTTCTTAACCTATGGTTCACTGCACCAAGTAGCAGTGGGGTATCCAACGCTGGCTCGTAACCTGAATTTTAGCTTTCAACTGAAAGCAAAAAATCAGTCGAGAGATAGCTTGTATCTTGAAAAACTTGTAAGTTGGGACACTCATAAGCTTATAAGTCAAGGTATTATTGTATTATCTTTTACAGAAAATTTTTTAATAAAGTATCTAATATATATATCATCTCTAAAATGTGAATGTCAAATGTTGAATGCCACAACGATATATATATATTTATCGTTAGCACCATGATATATATATATATATCATGGTGCTCAATGACAATATATGTATCATCGTCTAAATTTTAATAATTATTGTCCTGGCAATTTATTGATTATTGAATGTATAATTTTTACTTGGCTGTGCTGTTGTCAGAGGGACAATTTTAATGTTTTGCATATTGAGGTGGATGAGTAGCCTCTAAGGAAAGGTCAACTCTGCCAGGAAGACTGTTAATTCCTCTTGCATGAAAAAGGATGTAGGTTAAGGACATTTTTATATATTGTCTGTTATGGAAAATTTTTTAAATAAATTTTCTAAGCTTAAATAACATTACATATATATTAGAATTTGCTTCTTGTTCCTCTCAAGATGTTCTTTTGTTATCTAAACTATTATCCCACATACACACATTACATAATGACTGGTTCATGTATAGTGCATTTCTTCAAGGAGCAAAAATATTTTTCTTTTATAATAAATATTGAAGAAAATTTTATTATTTAATTAATATCTATTTATTAATTAAATCTATTTTATAAAACTACAATTATTATAATGACTGCTCATATGATGATCGGTGATTCCTCATTTAATAATACAGTCTGACAGAGTCACTCATTAACTGGAAATCGTTAATCAAATCTGTTATTCAGTATGAGGTGGTTGCACTTGTTTATTGAATTAAATAAAGTATTAAAATGTACTTAGGAAGTTATGATGTCCAGGAATGCGACACATTCTCAACATTTACTCTGCTAAGAACCAGTTATACCAGTGTTTTTCAACCGGGGTGCCGCGGCACCTTAGGGTGCCACAGCGCCACGATTGGGGTGTTGCAAAGTTTAGAGCCTTTAGGCATTTTCTTGGAAATTTACTTAAGTGTAGTTCAAGATAACTCATTGTCAGTTCTATTTTGCTACGAGATATCTAGTAAGCAAAGAAACTATCACTAATCTCATGTTAATGTAATGTTCTACGCTACGTGTACGCACGACTTGTCATGAGTTCGCCCAAACCACATTGCTTGGCCTTCACGTTCCCAGTCCCAGTACCAGGCCAACTACCAGAGAAGAACGACGTGGACACTTGTGTCTTGTATATACTTTAAAAAGCGTTGCATTGTACTTTGAAAAGCGTGTGGTTTCAATCACAAAGTAGGTGCATATTACAGTATTTTCATAGTATTCAAAANCGACACTTTCTCGACATTTACTCTGCTAAGAACCAGTTATACTATCAATTATGTTTGCACTGTGTGAAACACGAACAAAATACTAAAACTGTTGTGAATGATCTGTCTTTATATAAGCATTGACACACAAATTGTCATTCAAATGGTTAAATTTTAAATAACTATGACTTAAGATTTTGTTTTGTAAAATATTTTTTATTTTATTAACAGAGATAACTCACTGCTTGAATTCTTTAACTAAACCACTCTTACATAATTCTGCTGTATTTTCATTATTTTAATATTTCTTTGATTTAGCATTGGATTCTCAAACCTAATTTTTTTATTTTATACATCTTTCTTACATAATTCTGCTGTATTTTCATTATTTTAATATTTCTTTGATTTAGCATTGGATTCTCAAACCTGATTTTTTTATTTTATACATCTTTATTACTTAATTTTTCATTAAAATATTGAAATTCTCAATTCTTATGTATTTTGTAGCTCTTCCGAAACATTCTCTCATCTTAAATGCACTAAACTTTGCTTATTTTTTAGTTCTCTATGCAGAATATTGTGTAGTAGAGATTTATTTTTGTTGAGATTTGACATGATTTAGATCAACACATTTTAAAATTGTCAAATTGTCACACTGTCAAAATTTGGTGCATAAAGATAAATTCATTTTACTTGTGTGAGGAAGAGTAGTTGTATAAGTTTCTCTTAGAATTAATTGAGGTGCATGGATTAATTAGTTGTGGCACAGCAGTGCCTCAACTAATGATTCTCAAAATGGTGTCAGCTTAAGAAATTGCAAACTGCGTTGTGGTATGTTGAAGTGCAAAGTGCAACAAAACTTTCATGTGCTTGGAAAGGATTCGTCACCACAAAACATTATCGTGGTTTGGAAGGAACAGTTCCTGTAAATGGGAAGTATGTTGAAAGGTCGCAAAAATGAGAAACTCCAATTATCAGATGTGACTATGAAGGTGATTGAGAAGGCTTTCAAACAAAACCTGCAAAGTCCATTCGTTGGCAGATAGGTAATTGAATTTTCCTGTTTGACTGTTCACACTGTGGTGCATCATATAGACTATGCTATTCTCTTGCAACAGGAAGAGCATGTGGAGATTTTATAATTTTGTGTAAAAAGGAGTAAAGGTAGAACTGTAATGATTTTTGCAATAAAACTTGGTCAGTTTGTCTTCAAATTGCATGCCTTGCTTTTATTATAATTCTCACATAATTTTACTGATACTCTTTTCAAAATGTGTTGGTCTTAATCTGGATACTTGTATATGGGACTAGTATATTTAAACATTAAAATTAGTCTTAATGTGATCTTTATAAAGATAGCAATTTCAACTTTTTCTTTTAGAATAAATTTACATTGTTAAATATACTTTGGGTAGATCAGTTATTCCATTTTACTATATCAATCAAGTTAATATGTAATATAAGAAAAAATAGTTTGTATAATAGCAATAAAATGCATTTGAGAATCCTATTATATTATTAAAACTGGATATGAACTTCCAGATTAATTTAACAGATTAAATATCTGCATTAAAAGTTAAACTTGTAACTTGGCTTAAACAATTTTGAATGGTGAACTGTTTGGGTTATGAAACATTTTTTAAATTGAGAAGTATGGTTTTGCGTTATTCGTTAAAATGACTATATTTTCATTAGTAATAATTATTGATCTGTTTGATTAAGGTAATGAGAATAGTGGATGGAATACGTCCGGACAGACAGACGGTGATGTTTTCGGCAACGTTTCCTCGTCAAATGGAAGCTCTGGCTCGTAGGATACTGACTAAACCTATAGAAGTGCAAGTTGGCGGAAGAAGTGTGGTCTGTAAAGACGTGGAGCAACACATTGTAAGTATATTCTGTCAGATTATGTACTATTTATGATCATAAACTTTAATTATTTATCTAAGATGCATTTTTTTCTATTGTACAAAAACTTTCATTGTGATATAGTATTACGTAAAAGAAATTTTTATATTAAAACTTTTCTGTGGTGATATATTTGTCTGTCTTAATTAACTGTGACCCATTTAACCAAGGTTCCACATTAGATAGTGTGAATTGTGGATGAGAATGTAGTAGAGTACAGAACTTGAAAAAGACTATAGAAGGATAAAAAAAATAATTAAATAGGAACCTACAATTACACCTAAAATTTCTTATCGTAATAATGTTTTGTTTAATTTAAATTTTATTTACAAGAATATTTATTAAATGCAACAACTTTAAATGAATATATATTATACACATTAATGCATCAAAATGCATTCATGTAAATTATTACAAAAATAATTTATCAAACATTCTGTGGTAATCTCACATGGTTCACAGTACTCTACTTTGGATAATTAAAAACAATACGCAAATAGAGTCTCATGTTTCTTGATCAAAAATATATTGTTTTTAAATATGAACTGTATAGATTTAATGAAATAATTCACCAAATAATAGCAGTTTGCATGTTAAACAATTTTCATTTATTATCAAAAATATCTTTTCATTCAACAAGATAAAAATGAATTGCTGGAAATTTTACTGAATATTGTTCTTAATTGTCACAGAAATACTCNCCTGATATTAGATTTTGTAACCTATATTTTTTTTTCCTTTTCGTTTTATCTAATAAATCGTTGTTTCATTGTTAAATGGTGTCCTTTTACTCGTATATCGCCTATGCCTCGTCGACGACCCCTCTCACCTCCTCCACTCGACCTGACAACAAAATCCCGACCCTTCGGGACTGCATTCGAATTTTAGCCATCTTGACACGTGAGTAGGTTTAACGACCTGTTGCCGAAAAGGGAGAGTCGACGGATTTCGACCTCCCCGGCGGTTCACATATATTATACACATTAATGCATCCATGTAAATTATTACAAAAATAATTTATCAAATATATCTATTTAATTTTGAATTTTAGATACTGATCGAAGAGGAGGAGAAATTTTTAAAGTTGCTGGAATTGCTTGGATATTATCAAGAACAGGGAAGTGCCTTGGTGTTTGTCGACAAACAAGAGCATGCTGACGGGCTCCTTCGAGATCTGATTAAAGCATCATACAATTCTATGGCTCTTCATGGTGGCATCGATCAGTTTGATCGAGATTCAACCATTTGCGATTTTAAAGCTGGAAAAGTCAATGTGTTGGTAAGTGTTTAACAATTTTTGTTATGTATGGATGATTCAAAAAGTTATCATGAAGAAAAATAAAATAAAAATTACTCATAATAAAATACAATAGATCTTCAATTTAATGGAAAAATTTATAACTTTTGTATTTTATTTGCATGTAAAACATGCTAAAAGATGGTTACTGAGTATAAATTACACAATATGCATTGCAAATTCATTATTAATATGTTTTAAAATGCATTTGATTTAACAGACTGTTGGCAGTAGCAGACATTCCTTCCCTTTGTTAGTTTGTTAAATCAAGAGCTTACTGTAAATTCAAACAACCCAAATAATTTGGTAAATTACATTTGGACTATAATATTCTGTTAAGGACCAAACAAAGTAATTAGCCTTATTATAGCCAGATTACATTCAGGCTGTTGTGATTAATGACTAATAGTTATTTGGAAATATTGATATACAGCAATATACACATACACACCATGCTGGAGTAAAGATTTAGTGTGCTTGTCATAGAGGGCTGTAAACCAAGATATTGCCAGTTGGCATAGTGATTAAGTAAGTTTATGGAACTGGATAGTAATCTGGTAATATATATATACACATTTGAGTGATATGCAGATGATGCAGGTTTGTGTTTTACTCAACATCAATGTTTTATTCTAGAAATTTCCAAATTATTTAATCTGATCTAAACTTATTAACACAAGATGACTGCTAATCACCTACCTTTTGGCTAATTATTTTGTTTAATCATTAATTACCCGTATTAAAGTCTGAATGTAATTTGGCAATAGTTATTTAATTCTTTAATTATGGATTAATATTCTCTTATTCACTGTTTTCAGGTTGCAACATCTGTAGCAGCAAGAGGATTGGATGTAAAGCATCTGATATTAGTTGTGAATTATGATTGTCCGAATCACTATGAAGATTATGTTCACAGATGTGGGTAAGTGATTACATTTTAGTGACTGATAAAAATGGATTTTTTTATAGTGCAAGTAATGGTTTTGAATTATCAAAAATTTTATATAATATGCAGAAAATTTAATTCAACAGTAAATAAAGAAATTGCAATACTACTACAATATAATTTTTAGTGACTCAAACATAGTTTTAATGAATGTTTTGCTAATAAAATATCATAATTAATTAAAATATCATCTTTGCATTAATAACTTGATTAATAAGGCTAGTAAATGCAAAAAGGAGTCACTTATATATGTATTTTATAACATGACATTTGGAATCATACCTGTTTATTATCGTTATTTTTCATGGGTCTTGAATGAAACTTGGGGACAATTTGTGTTTACATTATAAAAGTAGACATTCAATGTTAAACAAAATGACACTATACAAATAGACATTTTCTTGTCATTTTGTAATATGTTAAAGAAAAACCTGGTCAGTCATTTTCAAAGAAATTTTCTGTTCTAGTCTGAGCTTCACAAGTAGTAATAATAATTATCACTTTTTGTTGTTATATACTGTAGTTTAAATACACGTGTTAAATTTTCTCTCATTGTCATGATGTATGTTACAAAGTAAACTATTAAATATTGAGATACAAATCTTGTTTTAAAAGTTATAAATATATAATCAAATAATATGCTAATTAGTTAATTACTATTTATGAATGTTCAAACTTTCATTTCTTTTATATCATTGGGAAACATGTAAAGGTGAAAAACCATTTACTCTTCATTAAAAATTTAATATATTAAATTATCTTTCTACTACTATATGAAAATAAAATATTTGCATTTCTCAAATATTTTATTTATTTGTAGGAGAACTGGAAGAGCAGGCAATAAAGGTTACTCTTACACATTCATTACGCCGGATCAAGGAAAATATTCTGGTGATGTAATAAAAGCTCTTGAGTTGTCTGGAAATCAAATTCCTGAGAATCTGCAGAAACTTTGGGATGAATATAAAGCAAAACAAGAAGCAGTAAGTAGTTTAAGATCTAAAAGTTGAAAAATTTTCTTATTTTCTTATTTTAAATAAAGGTGTATTACTTACTTTGTTAAATTTAACAGTGAGTAAGGTTGGGGAATTGCTGTTTAAGAAACTACACAATACATCTTGAATTTAATAGTTAGATTATATATAATACTTCATAAAGTTCAAACCTACTGTCTTTATGTGATTAAATTTTGAAGCATTTTGAAAATGCACTATGAAGTTTTTCAGTTCTCTTGCTGTCATTTTGATTAACTTAAATACACTTTATCATTGTAAAAATGAAGTAACATATATAATGAAGCATATATAACTGTCATAGATTATGATGATGATGATTATTATTAATGTTTTTTTTATAGGAAGGGAAGAAGATCAGAAGCAGCAGTGGTTTTACAGGGAAAGGTTTCAAATTTGATGAAGCTGAGGCCCAACTAGCAAATGAGAAAAAGAAGTTTCAGAAAGCTGCTCTTGGTTTGCAAGATTCTGATGATGAAGATGCAGAAGCTGATGTAAGTAAAATTTAATTTATAATCAACAGTTTTAATTGAAATGTCAGTTTATCATTATTTATTTCTTTTTAGATTGATCAAGAAATAGAAAACATGTTAGCGCCGAAAAAACGTGTACAAGAAGTCACTATTGCGAAAACCAGCCAAGGTACAACCATACCGGGATTACCGGGTGTGTTGTTTCCTTCTGCTGGTAGTGCAGAAAAACTTGAGCTCGCAAAACGTCTAGCATCCAGAATTAGTCTCCAAAAGAACCTTGGATTGGAAGCCAAAGGGGCGACACAACAGGCAACCGAAGCAGTTTTAAAAGGACAGTTGTCGTCGCCTGTCATCTCTGTAAGTATATCTAGAAATAAAGAGTTGCAAATAATTGACCACTGTTTAAAGTTCTTAGTCTCTAAAAATCATTACATTTCTAGGCAAAAACTTTAGCAGAACAGCGCGCAGAAAAACTTCATGCGAAACTAAATTATCAACCAAAATCGGAAGACGAAGCCAAGGACGAAGACGGTGGCGTCGAAACATTTCGAAAATATGAAGAAGAATTGGAAATTAATGACTTTCCTCAACAAGCAAGATGGAAAGTTACTTCTAAGGTAAGGATTAGATTATTCTTTAGAAAAATCATAAAATGTTTTTCCAGTTTTAAAAAACAAGTTATGTTTTCATTTCTAAATTTTAGGAAGCATTGGCTCAGATCAGTGAATATTCTGAAGCTGGTATTACGGTCCGTGGCACATATTATCCACCTGGGAAAGATCCAAAAGACGGAGACAGAAAACTGTACCTGGCCATCGAAAGCACAAATGAACTCGCAGTTTCAAAAGCTAAAGTGGAAATTGTTCGTCTTATTAAAGAGGAGTTAATTAAAATGGTAAGTGTAATTTTAACAAAAAAGTGTTCTATATTACATTGAGTATGCTGTTAATTCATAGTTTCTGTAGGAAATTGAGCAAGGTTATTGACAATTTCATTACACTTTGTGCTCAGTTTAAGTCAGTCAATATTTGAATATTTGAGGTTACAGATTCTTCCTAAAGTATTAATTTGGAAAGAATCTGTTACCTGTATTTGATTCTCTGTTATAATTTGTTATTTACAAAAGACATACAGGGTGGTTTGTATTGACCTGAACCCAAATTTTTTATTATAAATCTTGAATGGATGGAAATAGATTTAATTTCCAGGAAATATACCTCCGTGTATGTTGAATACTTGCCGTGTATTCTTGTTGTTTACAAGCCCACTTTGATCACAGCAAGTATTCAACATACCATGTATGTTGAATACTTGCTGTGATGTGCACAGCAAGTATTAAAGTGGCCATTGCCTTCTGTCAGACACATGTCGACACATTGCTGCATATGGTTTATAATGCATCATCAGTGTTTTGGATCTCATTCCTATCATTATCTTCTAAGACATCAATGGTTTATGACACACTCTTAAGATAGCTCCACAAAAAGAAATCTTGGCTGGTAAGATTGGACAATTGTGGCAACCACAGATTCTTAGCAATGACATGGTTCTCAAAAAAACATCTGGATTGTTACCATTGACTCCTCTGATGTATGGCAAGTTGCTTCATCTTGCTCAAAGTAATCCTGTGTCAGATCTACATCATGAAATTGTTCGACAAATTCTGAACAAATGTGGCAGTGTTCAGCATTTCTGTAAAGAAAAAGAGACTAAATTGTGCCTCTGCTGCCACCTTGTGACCAGTTCCAGCACTCGGTGTGTTAAGCTTAAGTGGATTCGTGCTTCCTGAAAATCTGGTTGATTTCCATTAATTTGTTTAAGATTTACAATAAAGAATTAAAGTTTGGGTCTGTATGAATTACTATGTATTTTTAAATATCTGAAGTCGTTTTATTTTATTTATAGCATGCAGTTTGTTACAGGAAACAATACTCATTATTAATAAATACAATGGCCATGACAATACAAAAATATTCACAAATTAGAAGAAGTCTTCATATTCTTTCCCTTTTCGACGCTTCAGGAACACTTGTGCATAACAAAAGTTATTGTATATAAAATTTCAGTTTGAAGAAATAGAACATTAACAGTTTCAAAGAGAGCAGATGCTTGTCTGTAGTTAAAATAATAGATAAATATGTCCTTTTTTTTATTTATTATTATTATTATATTATTATTTTTTATATTTCCAAAATACAACAACAATCTAGTCTTCACTAAAATCGGAATAAAATTTGTGTATGGGTGTAAGCATTTTGTCAAATAAGCAATCAACCGGCTACAGAATTATTTCAAAATATATTACTATACTAGTGAGGATTAAATTTTCTACATAATGTCCTGCTTTGTGGAAATGTTTTTCTCAATTGTTGATTACATAATGAATGTTGTTCCAGATGTATTTTAGAATCTTTATTTCCTTTGGATAGATTTTACTTTTTCTTTTTATTCCCCAAAAAATAAATTCATATCGACATCAAGGTAATCACATCAACACTTTACTACAGTGGAAACTGTATATCCAAAATGGTTGTAAAAAAACACCTCACAACATGTAACATTATACATAATGTGGAGACTTGCTCTCCATGTATACTTTACATTATATTTTGAGTAAATGAATTTACCTTTAAATATAGTTGTAAACATTAAATACTGTAATGCAATTAAACTTTAAACTGGGATGCACAACCTGCAGCCAGGAGGCCGCATATGACCCGCTTTCAATGTTTATGTGGCCTGTGGAAGGTACAGGCCAAATTTCTTCTTTCAAGTATGTCTATGGATTACTCGCTCTGTTGCGATGTGGGTCCTGTTACCTTAATGCAGTGAAACAAACCCTTCTTATGTTAAGTCTACGGAGAACCTTTTCCACTTTATTGGACAATAAAATTATTACTCACACTCCTTTTAAGTTGAGATTGGCACTTTTAGGCTTGAAAGACTCTGCTTTATCCAATAAAAGTGACCGAGAATCTGATGTCTGGGAAAATTGTTGCCCACTCTAGCTTCTTTCATCAAAGTGGGCTTGTAAACAAATGAACTAAAATAGCTAAATTTTCTGTATTTTAGCTCTAATTTTTCTAATTTTTATGTTGGTTGACTATTTAATAAAATCATTAATGTTTTATCTGAAACATTTAGCTGTAAAATTTTTCCCACAAAACTCACTTTGCTAGGTACTTGGATATCGAATATTTTAAGTCTAACACATAATATTATAATGATTTTTAGAAGAATCAAATAGAATAAGTGATGTTAGAGTGCCATTTTTATGTCATCAGGAAGTTTCTATTTTGGCGGGAAATTTTCAATTTTATGCTTTGGAAAACTTGCTTATTAGTCTAAATAGCATCAAATAACATAAAAATAAGTGCAAATAGTGCTGAAAAACTATGAAAATAACGATTTTTTAGAATTTGTTTACATTCTAGATTCTGATTGGTATAGTCGAAGAGGGTGTGGTACTTCCCAGGAAATTTGAATCATTCTTTTCTGAAAAGACACTTTAATGTCATTCAAACTAGAAAAAACCAACCAGAGTTCAAAAAGGAATGTACAAAAGCTATAACAACCAATTATTTACAACAATGTCTCTCCATAGACCAAAAATAGAAAAAACATGTCTTGCACCAAAATTTTTAATTATTACGTTGGACGAAGAAAATTAATAGTTGGAATAGAGTCATACGACTAAAAGGAAGCCGAGTACACTAAAAAGCTTTGGATTTAATAATTATTTCAAACCACATCAAGCCATAAACTTCCCGCGGCCAGTGTGATTGTCAACACTGCCCGCGTAGCTAAAGCAATTAGACTTAGACTCCTTGTCAACAAAGAGGGTTGTAAAAATGGTCCGGCCCCCTGGACAGTAAACTTAATCTTAACCTGGCCCTTCTTCAGAAAAGGTTGTGCATTCCTGCTTTAAATATGTGGTACTTAACAAAAAACAGACAAGAAGATTAGATAATTGATTTTCTTCTTTATAATGTTTGAGAGATTTAGCACAAATGGGTCTTTGACAATTTTTTTTAGCAAAATGGAACATATTTGGCAGTAACCGATTGGATACTTGCTACACATGGCAAAACAACTGTAATTTATATTCAAAATTAGATCGTGTTTCTGATACAACAAAGGATAAATAGTAGATATCTTAACTCAAAGAATTAAATTATATAAAATAGGTAATTACTGTTTATTACTCCATGAAAAAAATTGTAAACATTTTAAAATTAGATTAAAAGAATGTGAAAATTATGTTTGTATAGATTGTGGTCAATAGAATGTCTTTAACTATGTCTGAAAAAGTGTACTGTATTAAATTATAAATAGTTTGGATTTCCTATTAGAGAGCACAGAAATTCAAACCATAATTTTCATGCTTAATTAATGGATGAAATGTCTGTTGGAGCTGTTTCTAGTTAAAATAAGAATTCATTTTTTAGTCTTAGCACTTTCAAATTAATGTATCCATTTCAAAGGTGAAAAGGTATACTTACGTGTCGTAGAAGCATTTTAAACCTTCAAGAATATTTCTCATAAAATTATCTTCTAATTGAATTAAAATTTGCTTATTCTCCAATAAGCAATGTTTGCGCTATCACATACGATTGTTCTGTAGGACCTATCACACCGACACAATTTAATAAAAGGAGTTTATTAACCAATAATATGCATTTTGGACCCTCTTCGGTTAAACATAATTTAATGATTTAACTATAATTGTACTTTTAAAAAACTAAATTTCCCTCAATTTTTAATTTTATTGGGGCGGAATTTAGTTTTGTATCATCAGTAAAAACAGGATTCAATTTTTTATTATAAGAAAAATACATTTAAAGTTAAATAGCCAAATAAGGCCCAAATGTGTTTTAGACTTGTAATATTAATAGTGATCATATGTGATAGCACAAATATTATAATTTTAACTAATTAAAAGGGCAAGAAGTATTATTAAATTGATAATAATATAGAAATTTTTGTAACTGGTACATTCAATTAATTTACTTTTAATATATGTGCTTTATCAATTAATTTTTCTGAAAAATAATTTAGTTTTAATGAATTCATTTGTAAAATTAGAGCAAGAATGCAAATTACATTTTATATTGTTTTTTTCTTTCTTTTGCAGCAACATTCGTATCAACCCATCAACAGAGGACGTTACAAAGTGCTTTAGTTCGGTTGAATTTCTTTTCTTATGATTTGTTGACTCGGTCGATGATGATCACACCGTTAATTTTGCCGAGCTTGTCCGTGTAAATATTCTTTTGCACCCTTCTGACACCTTTTTATTTTAAAGTAACAGAAACAAGAAATTACACCAGTGTACATTTCCAAAACTGATTTTTACTTTTGTTTTATTTTTTTCTGTCTTAAACGATTAATTAAATCTTAAAAGATTGGCATAAAGTTTTCGGTTGATTAGAAAATATGTAATTATGTCTCTTATTCAATAAAATAGTTCATCCTTGACAGATTGTAGAGATAATTGTCTTGAATAAACTTGTAATGAGTTTGAATTTACAAATTCTCAGTTAAGAATATTGAAGATTTATAGAATGCATCTTTCATACCTTTCAGTTATAGATAAATTAAGTCTCGCAGTTTCAGAATTTTTGATTCAACACAAAATCCTTAGTGACAAATTTGAATATTTATTGGGTGAAATACTGTAGATTATAGGGTAATAGGGACTTTACATAGCCCTATTATCCTGTAGCTAGTATTGTACAATGTCTAGTATAGAGTTTAAGTATTGGATCAAGTTCATGTATCAACAAGCATGAATTTGTGAATGCTTGGGACCCCTTAATGCACAAGACTAAATTTCCTATACATAAAACTGCCATTGCAACTGCAACATTATCTGAACTAATATATAATAACTTAAAGAAGTTGACGTAGGTGCATGCCGTATAATAACACTTTTATTAACAATCAGAATTTTAGTATTATTGTTATTTCTGTTAAAAAATTTCTAGATTTTAATTCCTAGAATACATAAGAAAAGTGCAGGAGTCTGGTCTTAACTACTTTTGGTAATGCTGAAGTTTTGTATTCCATGGCAACGGAAGGTGCGATTGATATATTACTGCATGTGAATACATCGGATGCTTGCGTTACACTCTTACATGTGATTTGGTGCTTAAACACACAATGTAAGACTCAGTACTACTAAAAGTAGTTAAAAATTAGGTCATCAGTTTATTACTAAATTATTTTCGTTTGAGTTAATCTAGTTTTTATTAATTCTATTTTCAAGTTTATACAACATTTTGTGTGTGAGCTTAAACAAAAGATACATTATAAAGGTTGTAATTTTCCTTTAGAATCATAAAGTATTATTATATTTGTTCTAGTTGCTACTACTATCAAATTATTTTTCTTTCAAACTAATTTGATTACATAACAAATTCATTTGGATTTTAATGGTGTGCGCACTTTCTACATTAATAAAATCATTAACTTTGGATAATTTTGGACTGTAATGAGGCTAATTATTAATTATGTTCAAAATAATTTGTAATAAAAGTAGGTAGTTACATTGCCAACTTGTATTAATGTAAGTAATTACGTAAAATTATTGCTATAACTCATTAAATGATTTAATTACTGTAGAAGTTTGGGCTTATTTTGTTTATTCTTATACATGTAAAGTTTGGCACTGGTAAGGAGAAACGAATTCAAGTTATTCTGATGGTGGGGACCTACAATTGGCATGGAGTTGCCAAAGAGTTTAACAGGCTCATACAGACTTCCCACCAATCGCACACCAGTCTGGATGCAACCTGTTTTTGGCAACTCCATGCCAATTGCACGTTCCTGCCATCAGAATAACTTGAATTTGTTTCTCCTTACCAGTGCCAAGCTTTACCTGTAAAAGAATAAACAAAGATAAACAGAACTCATGATTTCTGACTTATGGGCGATACTTTAGTTGTTCACATATTCACTATCTGAAGACCTTGGTCTTTAATTTTGGAAGTAATGGACCAAATCTCAGTATCAAACTATAATTCCATTCCTTTGACTTGAAATATCAATATCAGACAGACTGTTAGTGTGTGAAATGTCTGTTAGACAGTCTGTCAACAGTCACTGTTTACATCCCAGCTTGTAAGTGGTGCTTGGTTTCCTCCTATTTACCATAGTACAGGTCATCCGGCTGTCTTATCTCTCTCATAAAGTTTGTTTTCTAATTGGCCAGACTATCAGATACAACAAATAACTCTCATTTATCATACATTGCTTCTCTTTATTAGTCTGTTGCATTGAGAGTCAATGGTAATTGGATTTTATGTGATGAACAATGTCTTAAGATATTGCTCATAAAACTGCTTTTTTTAGAAACAGATCAAAACATAAGACGTATTTAACAAAATCAGGAAGGAACTATTATCATCTAAGCTTTAGAAGCACATTATCATTTAGAATAAGTTCATTTTTTTACATAATTATTAAATTTTTGCTTAAATCAACAACAGAATGAATTAGAACCATTTGTTTTTACTAAATAAATTATATTGTAGGCAACTAGCTCAGATTTTTCAGTCTCCATGCCGTCGACCATCGAAAATCAGTACGAATGACTCGACAGAGAATAAATTATAACGACTTTTTGATAAATAAATTCAACCAAAACTACTCTTTGCCATGCTGCGGAGTAGATAAAAGTACTAGGAGGATGTCTGTTGTGATAATTTTTACTGTTTCCTCTCTAATTAGTTATACCAGCTGCATGTATACAGCTGTCATGTACAGGAACAGACTACTACACAACTTTGTTTGATGCTAGAAAGGACTGTTTTTCCAAAATTTTACCTTTCTGCGATGGATAATTAATGGAGAAAATCAGAAAGATAACTTAGTAGCAATTAGTAAGTCTATAAATATTTTTAAAACTTAACTTTATTAGAATTTTATGATATTTTGCCACCTGAATACATCCGGATTTTATATTTATTACCTAATGACATTAATTATCTACATTAATACACTGATCTAAGATTCTAATTTATATTATAAGCCTAGAGAGCAAGAATAATTTAATAAATTATGTTATAATTCTGGTTAATAATTAAGAAAAAACTTGAATTTCCTTCTACATAATTGTTAATTGTAATTAATTATTGTTTAAGAAAGGAAACAATGGAAATTAATGCATACAGATAGGACTTTATTCACAAAAAAACATGGCAAAAAACAGCATTAAATTATATGAAAATCATCACAATAACAACTACCCCTGGTGATCTCGAACACATTCTTAAATACAAATTTGAGTTTCAGTGGCACATGTACATTATCCTCCCATTCACCTGCATCACTCTGCTACAAAGCTAATTGTACTGTACATAAAATGTACAAAGTCATTAGTAAGGCAATATGGCGTGATATAAACAGTAGGTTACTGGAACATGTGCTGTTCCTGTTTGCACTAGTTTAAACAATAAGTAGAACAAGATCTATTCTTTAAAATCTCTCATACTGCAAGAACAATTTTTATCTGCAATGGATTAGTGCCACGATAGCTGTGCAGCTTTCATTTTTAATGAGAATTTACACTAATAGCTGGTTAGAAATGATGATAAACTATATTCCAGTACGTTGAATCTTGTGTTGGGGTGCTTTGGAATGTACTCTACAATCCAACATCTTTAATTAAAACTGTTCCGGGCGCACTCGAGCAATTTGCTTCTTGTACATGAACAAATTAGACCAGTACAACATGTACCTTAGTAGTATGTCGGGTACAATTTTCATGCATAGTTGCACGGAATGTCCGAAATATCCCGTAGTATGCTTGGAAACACCTAGGGTATTTATGGCGCTGCTAGCGTACGAATCCGCATTGGTGGCGAAAGGGTTCCATTTCCACATTCTATGGCTATAGTCCAACAAATTGGTGGTAACGCAAGATAATACCAGAGTTTGAAAAACCACCCCGCGTAACTTTTCGTACGACAGTCCTATGCCTAGAGAATTGCTAACGGCTTTGGCAGCTCCGTAACAACTAATTAATGGAGTAACGAACAAGGACATGAGACTCGACATGATGACGATGGCACCCCTCTCTCTTTCCAACATGTCTGGTAGGACAACACGTGCCATTACTATAGCCGAAGTGATATTAACGTGTATAATATCGAGGATATCACGATTGGTAAGGGATAAGAAGTAACACGGTTGGGGAGCCATTAATCCTACATTATTAACAAGCACTCCTACCTCCTTATGTCTGAGTTCCTCCTTAATCCTATCGTAAATCTCCCAACCTTTGGTGAAATCTGCTTGAATGATATCCACGTTGACTCTAAAATCTTCTTCCAATTCCCGTGCCGTGTTTCGTAACTTCTCCAAATTTCTACTGACCAGGACGATGTCCATCCCTCTTCTTGCCAGTTCTCTAGCATAGGATTTTCCTATACCACCAGTCGACCCAGTGACCACTGCCCATTCTCCAAACTTTTTCACGTTAGGAGGGAAGAAGCGCGAGATGATAAACAACCTAATGGCACTCACGAGGATTTTCAATAGACAGATGGCCAATATACTAGCAAACGTCACCCCAACCGCTGCGAGAAAGTAAACGTGTGCCTCTTCGCATTCAAACATGGTGGAATGCTCCGGTTCGACGAACGCTCGCCCTACATTTACTTCAAATTATGTCATTTGTGTGTACACGAAGTGGTCTGTTTGAATGACTACACCTTTCTATCGATCCATACAAAACCTATCACTCAAGGATAAAACTCGACGATCTCACACTAGCAGTGGTCAAGGAAGCGAAAATCATTGCTTAATTGTAGAATTTAACCATGAAATCTAATAATAAACTTTACAAAATCGTCATAAATAGGTCAAGGGTCATTAACCATTCCCTCTTTTAAAAAAAGAAACAATTAGCAACTGTTCACGTGCGACTTCTTGCCATTAAAAGAAAGCCATGTTGTAAAACCTGAATGCTAATTTCGACCTTTTTTTTTATAATGGCGAAGTGTTGAAATTACACTTTTATATAGTGAATGAGAATCAGAATAGGGCGTAACTTAATTTATTGTACAGCTCGATGAGTACAAACTAACTATATACGTTTAATTACATAAAATCTTTGCTCATCTCATCCTAGCCTTGGATTTAACTGGCGTAACAAATACAGAAGTGTGTAAATATTTTATGTATCCCCTCTCTCTCCTGTGTTTCTTTATGTAATTTTCTGTACAGCTGTACATAAACTGCTAAAGTAACAGTACAAAATATGTTTTGTATATGAATAAAGGATCTCAAACTTCCATTTCATCACCGTTACGTACAAACTGTATTACAATGAACTACATTTTACGCATGAGAAACTCACCCCCTTTCTTCTAGTTAGATAAACTTAAGATATGAATTATGTTACGCTGTTTTTTTTTATCTGCGTTATACATTTACAGACATAAAATATCCTCGATAAGTGTTTAGAGTTGCTATGGTGAAAATCGATCGGTTTGGGGAGTAAAAAAACGCACGTTCTACTTATGCAATTGCTAGTAAACAATTATATTTTGCTTTTAAGGATAAGTAGGGATAATTTACAGAATATACCTCGTAGATGCGATATATTATATACCTCCTTACAACCGTTCTAAGAAAAACTGGACCCCCTTAATCAAGTGGATAAAGAATGTAGAAGCAGGAAAGAACCGAACCTACGACCTCTCTCGTATAAAAACTAGTAGTTTATTATTAAATAGTTTAGTTTTTTAGGGATTTAAATTAAAACTTCCGTTTATTTATTCGAAATTAATAAAGAAAGTAATTCTTTATGCCAAAATTATATGGAAAAATTCTTAATTTGTAAGGCCTTATGCAGAGGTACAGAAGCTTGTAGGAGTTTCTCATCCACACTAGATTTTGTAAATCATATATTTTTTTTTTTGTGCTATTTTTTAAATTAAAATTTCTTAGAGAATGGTATGTGGGTCAGAATCTCTCTTCCATATCATTTTTTAAATTAGTTTCTCTACCTTGTGGGAAGTAATGTAAGCCTTTTTAATCATCCATTAAAGGAGGTTCGACCAGGCCCACAATTCAGGCGACAAATTTGGGGGCCCGAATTATACGAGGGAAACCACCAGAAAAGTTCTTGGATTCACTCCAGAGTGAGGAATGGATGCTATAACTGCAATTTAAGTGTTCGTAATACACTTTAGAAGAACTTTTTTTGGCTCTTGTGTAAGGAGTAACGGTTGTTGCAAAGAGCCTAGTGAAGTTTTTAATTCATTGTAGCAATTTTCCTCGGGCAAAAAGCTATTGCACGAAATGTCTGGAACGTTCTGCATCGGTACTTTTTGAATTTAACAGCTTTGTTTTGCAATTTTCTATATTTTGTGCTCTTTTCATTTGTAAAAAACTATATTATCCCATTGAATACACGAGTATTAAGTTAATGAGTAGGAATTTAGGGGGGAAAAATACTGCTTCCTTCGATATAACGAGAGTAATGATTCGATAACGCTAATTATTCGTTATATCGGAAGATGTCCTAGTCACTATAAAACGATCTTTGTATGAGAGTCACACTATATGCATTTTAATGAGTACTTATGCTGCCAGTGATCAGATGTTAAAGTTGCAATAACGTTATTTGGGTGCAACCGTTTGAGGCAATGTAAATTTTTCATGCAATCTCGCTTCCCTCTTGGTTTTTATTGAGAGGATGGAGTGCTTATAGCCACGAAAAACCAGCAAATGATAATCTAGTCCTGAAAGACAACGCGCGTGACATCATCTATCATGGAAGACGAAGTGAAAACAAACATGGCTACGCTCGTCTCCATTCAAATCTGGGTTTGTATCCTTCATCGTCATCACTTTCCGGTCGATTAAACACATTAAAATAATCACATTCGAGTGTTATGTTTGTTTTTACCCAATCACTAACATATATGCTCTATGTTAGTGCTCTATAGGGTCTGTCTATTGCACGAAGAATTACGCGAAATCATGTGGCATTGGATTCAACCCAACTCTCCATGGTTCCTTTATAGTTTATCACGAGGATATGTTTTTCTATCACACATCCATGCAGATCCACTCGATAATGGATCGGGTCTTCATATAACCGGGATAACTGGCTGGCCTTGTATCCTATAAGATCGTACGGTTTTCAAAAGTATGTCCATCTCAATTATCAATTTATCACATATATTTGCAATCGTAAGGGTATTCTTTCGTAATATAAACTCTATAGATACTTTTAATTATTGCCTAATGTACTCGCACAATTTGATCAACAAGGAATTGCAGTTAAATTTAACACATACCGAATTGATAACAACTTACTGAGTGGCCAGAAAATACCACTCTTATATCACGTGACTGGCCACAGACCAATGAGAGTTACTAATCGTCGCTACTTATAATTGTCAGGGTACAGTGGCCAGAACAATATAGTGTGTCTATCATTCGGATGCTTGCCGCTAGGAACGCTACAATCAGCGACAAGGCTAAGTAAGCTTTGAGAAGTCGTTAGACGAATTATCACCGAGCATACATTTTAATTAATTAAATATCTTTATTTACGCTTATTAAATTATTCAAATTTCATATTAAAATGATAATAAATGCGATGTAGTTTCTAATTTTTTAAAAAAATAATACAAGAATGTGTGTGACCTAATTTAACACAAGCAGACAAGTGACACGTTGAATTACAAGCAGTGAAATTCACCATATGTCAAATATAGGTCACACACGTTTTGTGCGAAAAATATTAAAAATTTAAGTCGAGTAAACAAAATATATTTATTTTCGATTAATAAAATATATAAGAAAATAATTTATATATTACTGTAGCAAGTGCAAGAACACAGTCCCGAAAATACACCACGATACAGATCATCTGTCCCCACTGGATCAGGCATTAAGCCTTCTTCTAGCCTGATTTATCACGAGTTTTGATGGTCTTTAAGGTTCTGCTTACCAAGCAACCACCTCCTAACTTTAAGGGTTTGTTGCACTCTGCTGACACCACCATTACATAATACGAGGATCTACGGGTAGTATAATTTTAAGTAAAAATTATGACATCCCCTTGCCTCTCTTGGTAAAGTTACAGCTGATGTTGACATTCTGAAACCTGGAGATGGACTAGCCCTTATGTATTACACAAAATTCCCTATTTCCAAGGAGTAAATGACCCTCTGCGGGTGTTTCTCGAACACAACCGTTTCCTTCATCTCCATCACAAAATGTAGGGGTTTAGTGGTAAAATAACAAATTACATTACAATCTTCACATTATAACTCCTACCTCTCGGCCTCGTCATCACGTTCTTATTCGTCTTCCTCGTTCATCCTGATGCTCTAATCTTCATAATTAGTCCAATTAAATTTATGCATTTAACTCAACGTTAATATTTTCCACTTCCATCAACAGAACTGACAACTACTGTTCTTGTTTTACACTCTCTTCGTGTAAAAAAGGATACTGTAAACAATCCTAATCCTTCCATTAACACTTTAAATGTATAAAGAATGGACAGAACCACGAAAATTACACCAATTATAGCAAAGAAATAGATGTAGGCTTCTTCACACGTGTACATGTTGGGTTCTAACAACACACAAAGCGTTTTTATCGTAAAACAAGAGGCGGAAGACTTTTAGATAATTTTATTTAAATTAAACATTCTCTGTTTCAAGTTACTAGAGGAGATTGAGGTTAAAGTTGTTGTTAGTCTGCTTTCGTAGGTCAAAGGTTATAAAGGAAACATTTATTTTTATAATGTTTGAATGGGAGAAGATAACTATAAAGAAATTATTTTAAATTTGGTTGAGATTTGCCCAATAGTGTTTTCTCTACAGAGCTCAATTTTGATCATCCTGTATATTCAGAATACAGTCGACCCCCTCCCTATAACACTGTTGATAATTCCGTTTTTATATGAATTCCATGTTGTACGAGTCACTTAGATTTTACAAATACGTGAGCCGTTCACAGCCCGGCACGCATATTTGTAAAATCTAAGTGACTCGTACAACATGGAATTCATATAAAACGGAATTATCAACAATGTTATAGGGGAATCGACTGTATTCAAGTTGTAAGTTTTTATCCACGATATATTGGATTAAATGTTGATAAAAAGTGTGTTAATTCTTGTAGAGTCTGTATTTATATCAATTTAGATCTCAAATTGCTGAAGATATTGAAGTGTTCTTAGAAAACTCGGCTCTTGAATCCTCCAAAGTATCGTTGATTCTCATTGATTCTAATAGAAAACTTGGTTAAATTGTAAGAAAATATATGAAACCTCAGGTAAAACTATTATTATTATATTGTATAGAAACCATTTGGATCCATTGGACTTAAATTACAGATTTTTTTATGAAAATGTCCGAAGTATTATCATCTCAGAACATGAAACAGGTGCTTGTAGAGAAGGCACACGAATTATTCTCGTTATGTGATAAGGAGCAAAAAGGAATAATAACGAAACGAGACATGCAACGTCTAATTAATGAATTACCATTGTCTCCAGAACAATTAGAAGTTGTATTTGATTCGTTAGATAGCGATAAGAATGGATATTTAACGTTGCAAGAGTTTACTGACGGTTTTGGTACGTAGATTTTATACAATTTTATGAAAAATTTCATCGACTTTAAATGTTTTATACTGGTTGCAGGTATGTTTATTGGAATTGATACACGCCCTAATACAAAAAATAAGAAGAATTATGATACAGATTCAGAAACTTTGGAAGATATCGAAGAAGAATGCGAAGATGAAACATTTGAAGATTTCCTTGAACAGCTGGGTGCAGCGGATTTATTTGAAGAGTACGATAGAAACCTTTTATATTTTCAATGAAACTAATTCTATATTCATTCTATGTAAATTATTTTAAATATATTTATAGTAAAGAGCATGTACGTCTCATTTGGATGCAACTGAGATCGGAAAACATAGATATGTGTAGAAAATTCGAAGAATTTTTAGGGAAATTGATTAAAGAAGTCAAAGAATCAAAAACGGAATGTGTGAATCTCGAAACGGCTCTGAAAAAGTATTAATACTTTCTTCTCTTTTTAAAAGTATCTTGTTTATTAGAACAATATATTAGTTTACTATGAGTATAATCTATTAATGGGACTTATTACACTGATTTGCATCAGTGTAATAAGTCCCATTAATAGATTATAATACCCAAAGAAAAGGAGAGATTGAACTAGTCTATTGGTTTAAAGAATTATTTGTTACCCCGTTATCACAGTAAACTAATAATAATATATTGGGCTATCGGTAAACGTCGCTATTTGGTCCTCAAATACAGAGTCGTTCCTACACTTTTCTATATGATTATTTAAAATTTTAAGAAAACAAATATATTTTTTATACAGTCGAATGAATCAGCACGACGAACAGGTACAACAATTATATGAAGAAATGGAGAAACAAATAAAACTGGAGAAAGACAGACTATTAGCTGAGGTAAGTATTATAAGTTTTTGAAGATTTACATTTTATATCCCATAATTTTCGTGGCTTTACATAGTCCTTACATGAATGATGATAAAATGAAATTAAAAATGTATTAGTACTTCAGAAAATAACATAGAAATTGATCAAATTTATCATCATAACTACTAGACCCAATGCCTAAACTGTTCGGCCATTTCTGATTTCGGTACGCTAACTTGAAGAAAGTCCATAGAAGCACGTACTTCCTGGTTTGTACTTTAACTTCGGGTCATATAAGAGGTCCTTCCGTGCCCATTAGTGGCCGAATGGATAAAACCACTGAACACAGGTCGTGGGTTATCATGGCCACGTAGAGTTTGCCGATTTTTCTTCACGTCTGTAACACATAAATAGGGGCCAGTTTCCCATCCCAAGACATCCGGGTGACATCGCATTGAATAAAACCAAACCTTATAAGAGACCCCTTCACCAAATAATAATAAGCAACATGTATAAACTGTCGCTGAGAATATATCGAGGCCCTAAGCTATAGCTTACATTACTTATACGTAAATATTGCTCGGTACACTAAGGCCTCTATAAAGAGTATTCGAGTGTACCGTACGTACCTAGTTATAGGTTCATTAAACACATGTTCTTAGGGCAGAAGACGATAATTTACTTCAATAATTATTATTTTTTCACTCCAAATTTAGGAACGAAGCAGAGAAAAACGAGTACGAGAAGAATTGGAAAATGAAATTCATCTTAAAGAAAAACAATTGCAAGAACTTCTCGAGAAACAATCGGAGGTGATGAGAATTTTTAAAGTTAAATGAAAATTAATAGAGAACTTACAGATGTCCATAGGGTTACACACGTTAATGGTGTCATTTATAACTGCAACCCTATGGACACCTGTAACTATTCCAGGACTATTAATATTTTAGTGATAACAGGTAATAATTTTTATGAATTAATTAATAAAGTTTTCAAAAAATTTAGATGGAAAAGCAATTAAAAGAAATCACCTTTGCAGGAAGTGAAACTAAACAAGAAAATATCAAACTTCAAATGGTAAGATATTGAATATTTTTATCAAGATATGAAAATTTTTCAAATAGGAATATTGAAGAAATGATAAAAATATAACTTTTTGTTAATTTTAATACATAATTCAAATTTTACAAGTTTAATTTAAGTTTAATTTCTTAAATGTATTTAAAAATTTAACTTTCTGTACAAGTTTTTATAATGAAATTGAATTTTTCTTTATATGAAATGATATCACATTAACGTAGAAAAATCTTTGAAAGTACTTCTTTAAATTTACTTTAGAATAGTGAATCATTAAAAAATAATAATAATAAGTAACTTTAATCTTTAGGAGAGAGATAATCTAGAAAGACGTTTGACAGAATCTGACAGATCCATGAAAGAAATGCAAAATTACTTAGACGAACTTCGACAGAAAACACTGGAAGACAGAAAGAAACGTGCCAGGTATTATTATTAATCATACTAAATTTAATAATAATAATAATATAAAATTAATTTTATAATTATTTCTTTATATTCTAGAGCAGCCTTACAGGTATCAGAAAACATAGCAATGGAAAGAGAACATTTGGTTAAAGAACTTGATGTTCTCAGGTACGAATAAAGCATTATATGTCTTAATTTATACAAATAATTTATTGCACTGCTCAAGAAAATTGGAAGATAAGGCATTATAAGTTAAGTAGACACCCTAAACAGTGTGGAGAAGATGGAGTAAATTCAATACAGGAACAGTGCACGCAATACCAGATAAAGGTGGTAGATGAGTAACTCTCATCAAGGGAAAAATCATTATTTTTCACTAATTGCTAAACTGCTAAACCATTCGCTCTTATCTTATAAAGCAGAACTTTATACTGGAGATTACATGGAGGTGTGTTATATTGAAAAAATAAGTCGAGATTTAACATACACCAGATAATTGACGAATTCAAGCATGTAAAAGGGATCTGGAATAATCTTTCCCTTGTTCAAAGCCTGTTTTAATGGAATAAGGCAATGCAATACGATGGCAATCTGCCAAGTGTAATGAATAAGTGAGTGAATAAGGATACAATAATAACTTAAATATTTGTTTTTCTTGTATTTCATATCACAGGTTAATACTTATTATTTTCTGTGGGAAAATTAATTGATTATAGGTTTTTACATATTGTACTATCCCCCAATTTTGCTGAGCTGTATGTTTTAAATTGCATATTTATTAATTATCAATAAATGGATTTACAGGACTGTTAATAAACAATTATTGGACGAAAAGGATATGAACTCAACAGTTAGTAGCAGAACGGTAAGAAATGTGTAATAATTATGATTAATTTTTGTTAAAAAATGAAGAACTCATAAAAGAAATAAATTTCAGAATAGTTTTGATGAAGAAGTAGCTCCTAATATCGAAACACCTTCTCCTTCAAACAGGGTTTTAATGAAACAGGGAAGTGTTCTCTCCGATTATTTAGGGTAAGTCATTTTTACAATCTCTTTCCTCCTATAAGCAGCAAGATGACCTTTTCCAAAATCATCGTGGGTTCAGTCAGCCTGATCCACAATGGGAGCGGCTTGAAGTTTCTGGAATAGACAGCTCATATAATTCATGATCAGACCCACCAGTGGTCAAGTAAGTAAAACTAGAGCACTGGTAACGGATTCTCACCTTACTAATAGACCGGTTGCGTGGCAATTTCCGAGTTTTCTTCGTGTCTAACACTATAGAAAGTCTCTAAAGAGGCATTCTTTTTCGTAGATTGCCCTGATATTATGCATTAAACCAAGTTCTTATATCGTTATGATCTAGAACGTTGGAAAAAAATATATATATATAATTTACTTATCTTTTAATTAAATACAGGAGCCAAAAATCACCTCGTAGCTCTATTTTATCCGAAATATACGATGAAGAGCCAGAAACAACTGATAATTCCACTCTAAACACTGAAGAAGGTGTCGAAAATGAAGAAATATTAGAAAGTACACAAGAAATTCCAAATAATAATGAAAAGTTTGTATTATTTCCCTTACATTTTCATATTTTTACATATCTTAAAGCCGATCACTTCTTTCCAGCACTGAAATAAAAAACTGCAGAATCGTTGCTGAAGGTGATTGCGTTATACCCGATTCTCATGAAAATATTTTTCCAATAAAATCTCAAAATAATAAACAGGTAATAATAATTCTTGTACGAATCTTTGGGTGCTTCTAAACCACAAAACAAACCAATGGCACACACAAATAGTTTCTTAGAAGCATCCTTTAATGGCATTTATATGAAATTTTTCATAATTTTCTTTCTTCGTGAAGGTTATGTGGAAAGTAAAATGTATTATATTTCCTGCAGCTATACAAAGTAATCCAATAAACGAGGTTTGTTTTATTATAACTATGTCTCAATAGATGTAAATTATATTAATTTTTGTAAATATATACTTTTTCAAATAGCCCAAAAATGAATGGAAAGTCAAGAAATCGTTTGAAACAGTGAATGATGGAGGAAATCGATATTTCGTAGAAAAGGATCAGGTAGAAATTCATCTGCACAATGAGGAATGAGATAAGCTGGTTCAAACGTTCCTGTATTCCTGTACACTAAACTTTGTGCTCCTCTATGTTAGGAGCCTGTACTGTAGTACATATGGCTCTGTTGGTCCACCTTTATCTCAGTGTTTTATATACATATAGGGCCTATATAACACTGAGATAAAGGTGGACCAAATACTGATAACAATTTTCTTTAAAATTTATTAGGAAATGACAATAAAGAAAAATATAAACTGTTGTAGTAACCATCAAAATGTAGATAATAAACAGGTAAAGAAAGATAAACTTAAATAAATTCTACTTTTTCTTTCAATCAATAGAATTTTATTTTTTTAGACGAAATTAATGCTTAATCCCGAGAGAGTGTTCAAAGTGGTATTTGTTGGTGATTCTGGAGTTGGTAAGAGCAGCTTCATGAGTAGATTTTGTGGAAATAATTTTCGACCAAATTACGCTGCTACTATTGGTGAGTAGGGATAAAATCATGTGATACTTTTATATATTATGTAAATACTATAATCCACTTCTTTAAATCCTTTTTAAATCGGATTAAATGTATTGTTAACAAGGCTGGCTTAATCATGGGAATATTGTTGTGCAACTGTACAACAACCATAGATATAACTTTACAATAACAACTAACACTTCAATTTGTCATATTAATTAACAATTTTAATGTAGACTTTTAGTTTAAACACGCTTACCCTCATACAGGTGTAGATTTCCAAGTGAAATCTATAATTGTAGAAGGTCAGACAATAGTGCTTCAGCTTTGGGACACTGCGGGACAAGAAAGGTAAAGAAGTGTTTTCATTTATCTATTCATAAAAAGGATAGAGATGATTTAAAAATAAAAAAACTCAACGTAATTTCGACAGATTTCGTAGTATAACGAAACAATACTTTCGCAAAGCGGATGGGGTTATCATCATGTACGACGTCACTTCTGAATCTTCGTTCAAGAGCGTAAGAGGATGGATCAATCGCATTAAAGTGATCGTCATTTAACATTTTTTAAAAAATGTATATTAATAAAGCGTATTGTGTTTATTAATTATTATTTATTTTAAAAAAGGAAACAGCAGACAATCCAGTTTTATTATTAATTGGTAATAAAATTGATTTATGCGAAAACGATGAAAACAGAGTCATACTCTATAAAGATGGACAAAAGCTAGCAGAGGTTTGTACTGGTTTAACATTAAAAAAAATGAATAAAATGTTACAAATATAGGGTGGTTCAAAAGTCAGTTAACCACGTTGTTTGTTAGTAATTCGTGAAAGTATGACAAAGAATTTTAAATTTGTCAATTGAATAAGAACAATAACATTTTAGCCTTTACAGTGGTTAACTCATTTTTGGGCACTATCGTATACTATATATACATAATTCTTTGTTTAACGTAATTTATTAATACGTGATTTATCATGTAAATAAATAATTTTTTTAGGAGTATGAAGCGGTATTTTACGAAACGAGTTCAAAAAATGGAGCACACGTGGACGAATCTGTTAAGAAAATGGCAAGGTATTTCTAATTTTTGTGATTAAAAAAGCATTTACAAGTGCTTGTAAATAACAATTTTATAATTGATTTCTAAAAGTCTTCTTCAAGTAAGAGAAGATGCAGAGTTGGAGAAAGTATTGAGACTTCAAGAAGAAACGAAGAAAAATAAATGTTGTTAGGGGGGTTTTTCGTGGACGGTGTTGTAGATAATATAATTTAATCGTAATAAAATATAAATAATATATAATTTTCTTTTCACATATTGATTCGCCATTAAAATTTTAATTATAAGTTCAAGTGTGCCGTGAGATTAAAAAAAAGGTTAAAAAAACACTGTTTTTTCTTGTTTTTTGTGATTGGGCTTGAGTTGCATTGATTACAGTTATCTAGCGATGTATCGTAGTATCCTGCTCTCTCGAGCAGTATTCTTCAGGTTACGTATATAGAGAAATGAATTAGTGATGAGGGAATTACAGTAGACTCCCCTATAACGCGGGTTCCAATAACGTAGATTCCTATGACGCGGCGAAAAAATTGCGGCAGTATTCGTATAAAGGGACGCGTAAAACGCAATAAAACGTCATCGCCATCTCGTCATCGCGGACGAGCAGCCGAAATATTTTCCGCCGTCTAGCGCCACTCTATGGAGAGTTTAGGCAGGTAAGTTAAGTTTAACTATCGTCTGTACAGTATTATATACAAATTATATATAAATTAGGTACTGTACATATAATTTTATATTAACTTAATTTATTGTAACTTTATTATAATTATATAT